AGCCCCTAATCGGGCTCTCTGCTTCGCAGGGAGCCTGCCCGCCCCCCGGCCCCCAACTGCCTGCCTCTCTGCCTACTTGTGATCTCTGTGATCTCTAAATAAATAAGATATTTAAAAAAAAAATAGAGAAGGAAACAAAGAATGATCATAGTTTAATTTTTTATAATTTATTTTTTATTCCATAACCTACTGAATTTGCCATTGAAAGCCCAGCGACAGTGTTTAGGGCCTTCTCTGTGGGGAGTAAAATGTAAGGACCTTGAGGAAGGACACTGAGGACAGCTCACAAGAGTGCACTGATGGGATGGGTCCCTCTGGGCCCCCAGAAGTTTATCACGTGACTTCCAGGATGACATCACTGCAGAAGATTGGAACTATGTGCTCAGTGTTATCTGTGACCAGCCTGTGAGGGCTAACAGGGGACCCAGACCTCGTCCCTTTAGAATTAGTGGCTGGGAGCTCACTATTCATCTGGAAACCCAGGGCACAGTGAATAGATTCTTGTCTTACCATAGGACCTGTCTTCAGAAAAGAAAGCTAGTCTAGGGCCCTGGGATCAGCTTTCACGGACAGGTACGATCTCAGCAACAATTCCTTCCTGCCGCACTAGGATTTGTGCTGTTTCTCACTGAGCTTACAATGAACTTGGAAGTCCGTGGAACAGGGACAGGGTGATGCAGGTCTGCGGTCAGACGCGACAGAGTGCAATCTTCTCTTTCTCTTACCACTGTAGAAAGTGACCCCCCCACCCAGGGCTACCCTGCTCTGTCAGGAACACCCGGAGCTGGCCTGTATTTACTGGTTTCCATGCTGAGAAAAGCAAGCGCTCATACAACCACCAAACAAACCCGTTCACAGAGATGCGGTAACCACCTGGTTTGGCCAGGCGGCCGTCTGGGGGACAAGCCTGTGGGTACCGTGTGGAAGAATGCGGGCAGAAGGTTGCTAAGTGGCTACTGTAGTCAGGCCCTAAAATGGATTTCGGGCCAGAGCAGAACAAGAGAGACATCACCCCTGCCCTCGAAGGCTTTACAACCTCGCGGGACAATCAGGTGGTTCAAGTAATGAGGAACTGCGGCCTATGCTGCAGTGGAAGAGAGTGCGCGGCAGGACCCAAGGGGAAACGTGAACTCAGTCCGGGAGACCAGAAGCCTCCCAGAGAAAAGATTATTTAAAGCAAAGATCTGAAGGGTGCCTTGGGGTCCAGAAAAGGAAGGCAGGATTCTGGAAAAAGAAACAGCATATCAAAGATCTAGGGATGAAAGGGGAAAAAACAAAGAGAAAAAAAATCCAGGTTTTGGGGGGAATGGTGTGAAAAAGAGGCGGTGGAGGGGAGATGGGCAGGAGTGGGTAGCTGGGGCCAGGCTGTAGGCGGCCTGAAAAGAGATTAGTGTAAGAGTGCCTGGGTGGCTTGGTTCAGTGTCTGACTCTTGATTTCAGCTTAGGTCATGATCTCAGGGTCTTGAGATGGAGTCCCAAGTCAGGATGCACACTGGGTGTGGAGCCCGTTTCATCTCTCTCCACCCTGCCCCCTGCACGTGCTCTCTTTCTCAAAAAAAAAAAAAAATAAATAAATAAATAAAAAATAAATTTAAGGCAGAGGTTAATGTAAGCACAAGATTCAGTTTCAGTTTTACAACGTCAGTTCTGAAGGCCTGGGTGGCTAAGAGAAAGGGACAGAGAAAGTGTGGGTGTAGGAAGTCACTTAGAAACCAGTCTAAGGGGAAGATGATAGGATGTCCTGCGTTGAGAGAGAGGCGAAAGGGAAGAAGGAGACAGTGCAAGGGCAGGAGACAGATTGAGGAGACAGAACAGAGAGGATTCCTGTCCTCTTCCTCCCAGGTCACATGGCCTGGGCTTCCTTCATTCCACACAGGAATCCACGTGGGGAGAGGACTCAGATACTTTAAAGTCTTCCCCAAGTCCTTCTGGGTTCTAAACCACAGTAAATTAGAGATAATCTGTGAATCGCTGTTCAAAAGCAAAAATGTCCTCTTAGAGCTGAGGGGGGTTTCAATTGTTTTTGGCTACACTGGCTTTGTGTTCCAGACTTCCCTAAACCTAAGAATCCCCTGAGGGCTTGCAAACCCACAGATTCCATCACACTACCCTGGGGATTCCCATTCAGTGGGAATCTGTGTTTTCCCTAAGTGATGGCCCCAGGTGATCTTGAGTTCAGACAAATGAGGGGGCTGCTGGTCCCGGGGAAAGCATGCTGATAGTCTCTTGTGGGTGATCTATATTGTGTGATTGCACTCCTACAAAATTCTAGAAAATGCAAACCAATCTATACTGACAGAAAGCAGATCAGTGATTGCCTGGGGATGGGGGGACGGTGGCAGGGGGAGAAGAGAGGGCGGATTACCAAGGGTAGAAAGAAACTTCTGTGGGTGATGGGTGTGTTTACTATCCTGACTGTGGTGATCTCTTCACAGGTGTTATGTATATATCAAAACTTAGAATATGTAATGTGTGCACTACATTGTATGTCATTTATACCTCATTAAAAATATAAAGGTTAGTAACTTCCAATACGCAATCTCAGAGTGTCTTAGATACAATTTCAGAACACATTCATCAACAACATATTAGCAAGCAGGGGCAAAAACAGTCTTTTGATCGGTTTCGTAAATTTGATGAAGTCTCAGTTCTCTCCGTCGATTGAGGGGCTCCAAGAGCATCTGACAGGAAAGTTCCCTGGAGGCAATATTCTAGAGCAGGATTAGCTAACCCTCTGGCTGGGGTCAAGAGAGATGGGCTTCTCTGAGGCTGCCGCTACACACAGGGTCATTTATAAATCACAGCTGGGGCTGCATTCTTGTGGGTATTGGGTATCTAGATTCTAACACTCTGTTCCTGGAGGGCCCAGAATGCCTTGCTCCTATTTCTAGCCAATTCCCAAATCTCAGACAGGAATGACTGCACCAGTGAAAGTGCATTAGTAACTGGTACTATGTTCATTATCAAAGTCACTGGTACTGATTGAAGACAAAGATGGCTGAAGCTTGTAAATTCTGCTTAGGGAGTGTGACCTTTTTTTTTTTTTTTTTTGAAGATTTTATTTATTAATTTGACAGAGAGGTCACGAGCAGGCAGAAAGAGGGAGGAAGCAGGCTCCCCACCGAGCAGAGAGCCCGACGTGGGGCTCGTTCCCAAGACCCGAGACCATGACCTGAGCCGCAGGCAGGGGCTTAACCCACTGAGCCACCCAGGTGCCCCAAGGAGCATGACTTTTTGACTCAGTCTCTGACATGTCATCTACTCACCCATAGAGCAACTCAAAAGGGGGAGCAATCAAAGCGTGCATCAAAGGATAACTGGATAAACAAAGCAAGGACATTCTGATACATAGCAGAACACAGAGGGACCTTGGGAATATCATCTAAGTAAAATAAGCCTCATAAATACTATATGATTTCACTTAGATGAAGTATCTCGAGGACCCAAGTTCACAGAGACAGAAAGGGGGATGGTGGTCACCAGGGGCTGGAAGCATGAGGAGTGGTGGCAGAATGGGGAGTTATTGGTCAATGGGTTGAGTTTCAGTTTATGAAGATACAAAACTTTGAGAAATGGACATTGGTGATGGTAGCACAACAGCATGAATGTGCTTAATGTCAATGGGCTGTATACTTAAAAATGGCTGAGATAGTAAATTCCATGCCATGTGTATTTTACTATAATTTAAGAAAAAAGTTTTTAATGACAAAGGTATTCCTTTGATTCCTATATCTGGTTATTATTCACTCTAGAATGTTTAAAATTTTTCCAAATCAACACATAACTTTGATTTTAGGAATAGTTTTCATTTTAACCAATTATAAAGGTAATACACTTCCACTGTAAGAAGTATGGAAAATGAGAAAAATATCTTTAAGAATAATTTTTAGAAAAATGTAAAATCATGACTCTCACACAAGTATAAAATGAACACATGCCAAAGATTTTATTTAACTCATTATTAATAAGGGAAGGAATATGGTGTTAGGACCAGTTCAAAGAAGAATGCACATTTACAGGTATACAGCTGAGAAATTTACAAATCAATGTCGAATTGGTCAGTATCCATTGGGCAATCATCATTTTGGTTCTACTGACACAAGCTCATTTGCATTTCTTTTTTTTCTTTTTAAGATTTATTTATTTATTTTAGAGAGAAAGGGAGGAGAATGTAAGGGGTAAGGGCAGAGGGAGAGAGAGAGAGACCCAAGCAGACATCCCGCTGAGCGCAGAGCCCCAGGCTGGGCTTGATCCCGCAACAGGACATCAGCACCCTAGCGGGAATCGTGAGTCAGAGGTCCAACCCACTGAGCCACCCACCCAGGCGCCCCCTCAGCTGTATCTTTATGAACAAAAGTCACCGACCGGTATAAAGGTATAAAGCAGCTCAAGGACGAGAAACGGACACAGGACCCTATACGGTTAGACACAACTGAAAAGTGTGCCGCACAGGACGCCCAGTAACACTCCTCCTTTTTTTGGCCTCTTCAAACTTTTCCATGGGAATAATAATAATAATAATTAGAATCCTCTGAAACCCTTCATCCCAGAAAAATACTCCCTTTGACTCTTTTGAGCGGGACTGAAACTGCAGTGTGGGGCTTTTACTCAGCACGCTGAACACGGTTTCTTAGGCCACCGAAGCGCCGCATCCCGGGACGCGCCGCCGGACCGGGACCCGCGGCGCACACCTGCCCGACGCATCCCCGGCGGCCCACGGAGGAGCGCGGGCGCCGCCCGCTCAGCCGCGGGTGGCCGAGAGTCAACAGCCCAGAACTGCGAACGGACGTCGGACCCGCCGGGAGTGGAGCGGGGAGAGGCGGGCCCCGCCGGGCGGACGGGCGGGGACCGCGGTGAACCCGGGTCCGCCGCGCGGGAGGGCGGTGGCGCGGCCCCCGAGTCAGGTGCGGCAGTACGGACGGCGCCGCCCCCTCTCTCCTCCCCCCGCCCAGGGCCGGCCGGGCCGCGGGGCCGCGCGACGAGCAGGGGCGGGGCGACCTTTGCTCGGTCCCGGAGAGCCCGGCGGCGCGGCGGGGTGTGGACGCGGCCCGGAGCCCGCCGCGCGCGAGCTGCCCCTCCGCCTTCGGCTCGCACCCCCCGCCCCTCCCACCGGGGCGGGCTGGGCCGCGCCGGCCGCCCCCGGGCGCCCGCACCTCCGGCCGCAGTCTCGGCCAGACGCGCCAGCGAACCGGTTTGGATTGGGGCCGGCGGCCGCGCGGGAGGCGGGAGCGGCGGGGACGCGCGGAGGGCCCGGGGAGGCGAGCGGCCGAGAGGGGACGGTCCCGCCGACTTGGCGCGGGCGGCAGGTGCGCGGCCCCCGGGATGCGGACGCCGGCGGTGATGACGCTGGGCATGGTGCTGGCGCCCTGCGGGCTGCTGCTCAACCTGACGGCCACGCTGGCGCCCGGCTGGCGGCTGGTGAAGGGCTTCCTCAACCAGCCGGTGGACGTGGAGCTGTACCAGGGCCTGTGGGACATGTGCCGCGAGCAGAGCAGCCGCGAGCGCCAGTGCAAGCAGCCGGACCCGTGGGGCTACTTCGACGCCCAGCCGGTGCGCGTGGCGCGGGCCCTCATGGTCACGTCGCTGGCCGCCACGGCCCTGGGGCTGCTGCTGGCGTCGCTGGGCGTGCGCTGCTGGCAGGAGGAGCCGCGCTTCGCGCTGGCCGGCCTCTCGGGCGCGGTGCTCTTCGCCGCCGGCCTGCTCAGCCTCATCCCGGTCTCCTGGTACAACCACTTCTTGGCGGACCGCAACGTCCTGCCCGCCGACGCCAGCCCGGTCACGCTGCACGTCAGCTACAGCCTGGTGCTGGGCTACCTGGGCAGCTGCCTGCTGCTGCTGGGCGGCTTCTCGCTGGCGCTCAGCTTCGCGCCCTGGTGTGAGGAGCGCTGCCGCCGCCGCCGCAAGGAGCCGGCGGGCGGCCCGCGCCGGCCCAGCATCAGCACGGTGCACGTCGGCTGGCCCGAGCCCGCGCTGCCGCCCGCCATCAAGTACTACAGCGACGGCCAGCACCAGCCGCGGCCGGCCAAGCCCGGCGCCGCCCGCCAGCCCAAGGCCGGCTTCCCCATGCCGCGGCCGCAGCCCGGCGCCTACACCAACCAGATAGACGTGCTCCGCGGGGAGGACGCCCGCTCCCCCCGCGACTCCTTGGGCAGCACCTGCTCCTGCCACGCCTCGCTGCCCTGCGACTCCGACCTGTAGACGGCGCCCCCTCCTCTCCCAGGCCTGCTCTGGGCGGGTGCTGCGGGGACGAAGGACTCGCCCCCACCACGTCCAGCCCTGAACTTGCCCGGTACCTTGTACCTTGCGGCTGGAAACACCTGACTCGGCGTCCGAAACCCCGGACAGGTTCCTGGAACTGGTTTGGAGGGTGATCTTCCTTTCCTGTGACTCAGCCAGACTCTGGGCGATTAGATCAGCTTGGCTTTGCTTTTCTTTCTGTAAAATTTAGTTTTCCTCCCCAGAGGGATGAGGATCTTCTTACGGAGTGACGGGATTTTCATACTTGAAGCTGAAGGAGATCTAGAAAGGACGCCTTTGCATCGTGTTGACACAGGACCGTGACAAAAAGCCAAAATCGGCAAAGAGAGGCTCAAAAACCATGTTAACACCTTGAAACAGTATCCGGAAATGCCAGTGAACCTTACATCAATATAATGTTTTTTGTTTTTCCATTGTATAACTTATTCTCCTGCAGACTCTCAAGAGACCAATATACTGGCTATGTTTGATTGAAGCTCTTAAAATAAACTTGGAGCCATGCAAGCACCAGGGGCTCTTGTGGCTTTTATGGAATAACTTAATTAACTCTTATTTACATTTCTTCAGGTGTACATAGGATTTGCCTTTATTACTTACTTTTGGTGTGAAAGTCGAGGGCACTGCAGTTTCTCTCCTAGAAGCCAGGTAGGATTGAACAGACTTACTGCTCCATTTTTGGGCTACCTCACACTGGACATAGGGGATCATAAATTACGTATTTGGTACAGAATGGAACCTGTTAATCACATTAGGTAAAGAACATGGGCATATATCTCTTATTTATAAATAAAAGCTGAACACAAGCGTTTCAGTAGATACACAAAAGCTTTTTTGTCTCCAATACAAACTTGGGGAGTTTGCTCATCATTACTAATGATTTCCTGGCTGCTTGGGCACTGTTTCTGAAATCTAGCACTCAGATCTTTGCCCCTCTTGGCATAAGATTACTAAAAGGAGCCAACGGGCCCCACGTAAATCCTTGATCGCTTTATTTTCAAGTTGGTGCTGTTTTCTGAGCAAAGACACTTCTATTGTTTGAAAAAACTAGAAGCACCAGTTTCCAACATGAAGTGAGACTAGAAATCCTCTCCTCTTGTAAACAGCGGTGCCTAAAATCACAGGTAGGCAGCTCTGCGTTCCACGAAAGGGACTAAATCTCAGGCAGGGCCCACTCTAATTTCAAGTAGTTGATTTTTAAGGGCGCCTTTCACTGAGTTGAATTTCATCTTTAAAACCGGCCGGTGGCAGCCCATTCCGTTGCAGGAACATTCAGTTCAGCAAGCACTGGTAACAGCGAGCTACAGCAGAATGAAACAGCACATTCTACTCATTAGCAGGGGAAGGGATAGTACAGATACGCTTATATTTTACATCTTTTGGGGACCAAACCTTAAAGTGCAGGCCTATGACCCGGCTATCTCTTTCAAATACAAATTCTCATTGAGTAGGTCTGGAGCAGAGGTCAGAAACGAACTTTTCCTACCAGCTCCCAGGAGGGAGCCACACCTGGGATGCCTGTGGTCCCCCCACTTGGGGCTGCGAGGCTTTCCTGGGAGGGTTCTTTACCCAAATTGCAACCCCAACTGGCGGCAGAGAATCAGACCTTTGAGAGCTTGCGCTCCAGGGAACAGAGCCGGAGGGAGAAGAGGCAAGCTGCTTTTTCAGGGAACACCTCCAAAGGCAGGCATGAGGGCTCTGGGAAGTCAGGACCTAGCCGATTCCAGAGATACCGAGTTCTTAGCAAATGCCGAATCTACTCATCTGGCTGCATAATAATTCCAGATATTTCTCAGGGAGGCCTGCGTAAAAACAAAACTAGGGCTTTGTACGTTTTCACTTTTCCTCCCCGCCCAGCCATTCTGCGGCTTGTATCCAGAACATCCCCCCCCCTTCTGCTGATTAAGGATTTGTTGTCAGGAATGAGAGCTCTGTTTTGCCCTAGCAACAGAAATGAAACCGAAACTCCCTTTAAAAAAAAAAAATGCAAACTGCTTTTTGCTGTGAAAAAAGTCAAGACAGCATGGAAAGGCACTCCTGAGTCAGGCTGGGATCTGTTGTGGGCACACGGGTCATTCTGTGCCACAGCAGCAGAGACAATGGCTCTGACACTCAAGACGCTGGACCAGGCAGGAGCCTCCGGAGCTGCTGCTGTGGGCGTGAACTTGGCCTAAACTGAAAACCCACGAGCCAGGCAACCTTCCCACAGGGAAGACACAGCTGGGGAACAGCACTGCCCCCTTGCCTCATACCCACCCCCGCCGCCCCCCCTTGTGCCATCACGACCTGTTCTTAATGAACCTGATCACATACGAAGTATGTGTCCCCAATTAATGGGCGAAGTCTTCTCGAGATTACTCAGCTTGTGCCTGCCTGCAGGGACCGAGGAATGTGTGAACGTAGAGCAGACACTGTTCACAGGGCTCCTGCTCTGCCTGTTGGCCAGGCTGGCTCTGACCTAGCAGCATGCCTTCTGTGAGGAGGGGTGAAGATCTCAGCACAGAAGCTGTTGAACATTTGCAGATGCTGTAGGAGGCGCTGTCAAGATGCTTCTAGACCATGCTCTTCTTCATTGCATAGACCATCCAACCAGTAGGTGCAGGGGCACCTGTCGTTTCGTCGGCACATCTGTGGGCACCTTGGAAGACCACTCCAGGCTCTGCCTTTGGGGAACTTACACAATCTAGCATAGCCTGAGAGACACGTACTAGGAAAATGAGGAGAAACAGACCAGCGACAAGGACTTGAGGAGAAGAGGGTGGTTTTAGGGAAGGTGGTCAGGAAGGAGGGGATGCTTGAGCACAGAATGGAAAGAAGGGAGAAGGGCACATTCCAGGCCCAGAGAACAGTGATGGCACAGCAGGCATGGCACCAGTGTGTTTTGCTTCTACTCGGCTCTAGAACTGGCTGCTAAGGACAGGAAGAAGTTGGCGATGTCTTTGAGTGAGGCTGGGAAAATCTTGCCCTCTGCCCTTTGTCAGGCTAAGAGCTTGAGGAGGGAATACAGTCTGGTCGTTAAAAGCCCTGGGATCTTCCTTAGGTGTTATCCTCTCTCAGCTTAAACTCCATTCATGGCTTGGCCAAGGCCTACGTTATCACCATCCCCCCACACACCCTAAATAGCTACTTTCCCCCAACAGCTTCGAGGGGTCCTGTTGGAACATATCACTCGCATGTTCAAGCGTGTCATTTTCTTGATGTGCTTTCCTGTTTTACCTCTAAATTGAAAGTAAGGGTATGATGGTTTCTATGTATATTTGTAGTCCCAGAACGGGTATTAACACTTGTTTGGGAACCATTAGAAATTTAATGTTACCTCTAAAATCTGTTTCTGTACCCTAAGTGCCTCTTTGCCTTATACACAACTTGTCTTGTACAGAGTCATTTGTGACCCGAGGCCACAGGCCCACAGGATGTGGAGGAGCACGGACGCTGGCAGGGAATGGGTCACAGGACCAACTTTGTGAACTGGGTTACCATCGGCTTGCAAGGACCAGGCCAACACAACCAGTGCCTCCTCTGGTCCCAACATGTCATGGATGAGACTTTCTCTATGTGAGGAGAACAAAATAAGGGACAACATCATGACTTCAAATACAAACTTGTGTGAGGGGCCAGGGAGGGGATAAAAACACAAACTTGTGTGCAATTCTCATCCAATCTTCCCTGTGACCACCGTGTACATTCCTCTCTCTCCTCACTGCACGCAGATCAATGACCCCCTCCAGCAAATCTCCATTACAGAGGACTGAACACTGGAAAACAAGGACATTTGTCGGAATCAAGGAAAACACAAGACAAGGATTTTGGGGTGGAGGGCGTGGGGGAGACAATGCTGACGAGAGGGCTTGCTTCTCCAGGGTTCACATGTGGAGAGGAGGGCTTGAAACAAACAGTAAAGACAACGCTACCACCCTCTCTCAGGTCCCACTGGGCTGTCTAGCACCTCCTCCCTCTGACAGGCAGGTGGGCGGAGCCATGCTCATAAACCAGCCTGAGGTCCACACAGCCTTTCCAAATGCACTTTTTTTTTTTAATTTTAAAACAAATTTTATTTAATTTTTAAATTTCGGTGTTCCAGAATTCATTGTTTATGCACCACACCCAGGGCTCCATGTAGTACATGCCCTCCTTAATACCCACCACCAAGCTCACCCACCCTCTAACCCCCTCCCCTCCAAAACCCTGTTTGTTTCTCAGAGTCCAAAGACTCTCATGGTTTGTCTCTCCTTCCAATTTCCCCCAACTTACTTCTCCTCTCCACCTCCTGATGTTCTCTGTGTAATTCCTTACACTCTACTAAGGGAAACCATGTGATAACTGAGTCTCTCTTCTTGACTTACTTCACTCAACAAAATCTCCTCCATTCCTATCCATGTTGATACAATAATTGGGTATTCATCCTTTCTGATGGAGGCATAATACTCCATAGTACATATGGACTACATCTTCCTTATTCATTCATCTGTTGAAGGTCATCTTGGTTCTTTCTACAGTTTGTTGACCGTGGCCATTGGTGCTATAAACATTGGGGTACAGATGGTCCCTCTTTTCACTACATCTGTACCTTTGGGGTAAATACCCAGTAGTGCAACTCAGGGTCATAGGGAAGCTCTATTTTCAATTTCTTAAGGAATCTCCACACTATTCTCCAAAGCGGCTGCACCAATTTGCATTCCCACCAATAGTGGAAGAGGATTCCCCTTTCTGCACATCCTCTCCAACACACGTTGTTTACTGTTTGTTAATTTTGGGCATTCTAACTGGTATAAGGTAGTATCTCAACATGGTTTTGATTTGAATCTTCCTGATGAGTAGTGATGATGAACATTTTCTCACGTGTCTGATAGCCATTTGTATGTCTTCACTGATGAAGTGTCTGTTCATGTCTTCTGCCCATTTTTTGACGTGATTATCTGTTTTGTGTATTTTGAGTTTGAGGAGTTCTTTACGGATCTTGGATATCAGCACTTTGTCTGTATGGTCATTTGCGAATATCTTCTCACATTCTGTGGGTTGCCTCTTTGTTTTGTTGACTGTTTCCTTTGCTGTGCAGAAGCTTTTGATCTTGATGAAGTCCCAAAAGTTCATTTTTGCTTATTTTTTCCTTTGCCTTTGGAGACATGTCTTTTTTTTTTTTTAAGATTTTGTTTTTATTTATTTGAGACAGAGATCACAAGCAGGCAGAGAGAGAGAGAGAGAGGAGGAAGCAGGCTCCCCGCCAATCTGAGGGTTTTGAAGGGGCGGGGGGGTGGGAGGTTGGGGGAACCAGGTGGTGGGTATTGGAGAGGGCATGGATTCCAAATGCACTGTCTTGAGAGTAAAGCTTAAGAATTAGATGAGACTGAGAGGAGAGAAGTAAATGTGAACAGTGAAGGCTGAGGAAACAGACTGATCTGTAAATCTGGTAAATGATAGCAACAAACTCCATGTTCTAGTTCCTGGTTTCTCTGGATTTCAAAAGCCTTCCAGCAGTTAAAATAGTAGGAACCTGGTGCATCGCTCCCAACATCAATGATCTCTCCCCCATTGGTTTCCTAAAACAAGTAAGTAGCAAGAGTTTAACTGAATTGCTAGCTAGAGACCTAAAAGGTCAAGTTTTACATAGGGCTCTCTGAACCTAAAGCATGAAACTATGAGCTTTTCTAAAGCTCCTTGTCCCTCTCCAGAAGGAAACCCAAACCTACCACCAGGATACAGATGTTGAGTTTTTACAAAGAAATTCAAATTTGGGGGCACCTGGGTGGCTCAGTGGGTTAAAGCCTCTGCTTTCTGCTCAGGTCATGATCTCAGAGTCCTGGGATCAAGCCCTGCATCAGGCTCTCTGCTTGGTGGGGAGCCTGCTTCCCCCTGTCTCTCTGCCTGCCTCTCTGCCAACTTGTGATCTGTCAAATAAATGAGATCTTAAAAAAAAAAAAAAATTCAAATTTCACATCTGCTATAGAGTTTACTACTTCGTCTATTTAGGTGGAGAGAAATTAAGAAATTAACACCTAATACGGAGATCATCAGTATTATCTTACAGTTAATATGCCTTTGCTCCAAACAGCTAAGTTTGGGTAATTGACGTATGAAAGCCAGTTTTGGGCATAGCAGTGGTTAGGGATTGTTAATCTTATGAATGGGTGCTTAACATTTATACTTCAGTCTGTCAGTGAAAAGGAGTTCAGAGGTGTCTTGTAAATTCTTGAATTGGGGATGCATAACGATACATTAAACCGCATTCAAGCGGGATAATATTTGGGCACACACTCATAGGAAACCAAATAGGAGAAGACATGACTAAGCCCGGGTAGGAGGTAGAGGATATGGGTACCTGCGCGACACACAGATTGGGTTGCTGTCAGCCACCCTTTCACCAGGAAAAGGAAATGGTGGAGCGGCTGGGGTCTAGCCAGGAGGCGGAGCTTGTGGAGTAGAAGGCGGGGCCTGTGGAGTAGAAGGCAGGGCCGGTGGTACCATACCAGCGCACAGCCTGCAGAAGTCCAAGGTCAAGGGAGCTGGCCGGAACTCTAGTCTTGGAAGTCTGCTGGACACTTAGGGTCTGCAGGAGGTGAGGGCGACAGCTAAAGTGTGTCCAGACAAAATGATAATGCCGCTGTATGTCATTCATGCACGTTTTCCAGCCAGACTCTCGGTCGTATCTTTTTTACTCATTTTTCCACAGATGGAGGCAGAGCCTTGCCAAGGGCCAACTTGGCAGGGATATGGTTCTTGGGAGCGGTGGCAAGAGAAACCGAAGAGTCACTCTGTGGTGGCGAGGGGTCTCGGGCGCTTTGGTGCAGAAATGTTTTCTCTCAAATACAGCTAAGCACCCCCAGGAAACTGAATACTGCTGCCGGTGTCTCCCAGCCTCGGGAAGGGTGGAACCCCTAGCATTTGTTTTTCCTGTCAAGTTGATCTGTACTTGGGAATTTTTATACTTGACTGCAAAGCACAGTCAATTTTATGTTCCATACCCACAGCTATAAGCTTAGGACTGCTCTTAGCCTTGAAGCCTACACAAACGCGTGCTGCAAAAAACGAACTTAACTATGAATAGCCTAGACAAACAGCCAAGCAAGGAAAGACGTCCAAGACAAGTCACGACTATCATTTGGACTTAGGTTCTCAGCCTCTGGTACTACGCACTAAGCAGTGCACGTATTTTTATATCTTCATGTGATGATTCACTGGCTGATGTAGGTTCTCTTAACCCTCTTGTTACCATTGGAGAAACAGTTTCATGATTAAGTGATCAGCCCCAGGTTGCCACTGAATGTTGGACAACGCTCCTGTTACCCGTCTCCCGTCACAGATTCAGTGCCCTTGATTCTTTATGTAAGAGTGTAAAGGAAGATACCATCTGGAGGGCCAAAGGGAGTCCCAGATCTAAGTAGCATCTGTGAGTTTCCCAGCAGGCTAGAGCTCATTAAGATGAGCCCGAGTCCACATCGGTAACGCTATGTTGAGGCCCCCAGTGTCTACCTACTTTACTTCAAGCCTTAGACAAATCACTGTCTGAGTTTCTACATCAGTAGAATAAATCTACCTGCACAGCTGATCCTGGGGCAGACAGGGGTTGGGACACCCACCCACTGTGGTAGAAAATCCACACACGCCTTGACTCCCCCCAAACTTAACAGCTTACTGTTGACCAGAAGCCTTACCCATAACAGTCAGTTAACACATATTTTGTGTATTATATGTATTATATACTGTATTCTAATAAAGCTAGAGAAAAGAAAATATCACTAAGAAAATCATGAGAAAATGCATTCACAGTATTGTACGTACTGATGGAAACCACCTGCACGTAAGTGGGCCCATGCAGTTCAAACCTGTCTTGTTCAAGGGTCCGCTGTACTTGGTTTTAGAATCAAATGAGAGCATTAAAAAACACTTTTTATAAATTTTCAACAAAAGCGAGTACTAACTTTGTAGTAAAACATCTGAGAGGGAATGATAAAGAACTAATACTTGAACACTTGCTACACTGCAGAAACTTGACCTTTACCTGAGAGGTAAAGATTTAAGAGATCCTTCCCTTCTGTAAGACGAAAAAGCCAGTTCAGAGCAATTAAGTACCCATCAAAGTTAGTGACAGGACCAAGATTCAAATCCAGAACCTCTGACCAGCACTGGGCCAGTCCCGCTGGGATCAGACAGTCTCTGCAGATGAGCCCTCACCTAAATCACATGGAGCTTGTGCAGAAATCCGACCCGCCTGTGACTCTGCAGTCCTTCGATCTCCGCCAACAAAACCAATCCTCCAATTTAAAAAGCAGTTATGTTAATAAGTTACCATTTTCGCACATAGTTACAGTTCATTACTTACAGACGTTAAAACAGTACGCAGTGCAGTGTCTAAACAATTTTTACTGAGATGTTTCAGCTCCTTTTTCAGCAGGTTAGTCACTTTGTAATGTTAACAGTTCCTGTAGGAAAAGAGACCTGAAGTTAGAGAATACACACTATGATAGTTTTTTCTTGGTTTGCTTTGTTTTTAATGATTTTATTTTTAAATAATCTCTACACCCAACTTGGGGCTCAAACTCGCAAACTCTAGATCAAGAGTCCCATGCTGCACTGACTGAGCCAGCCAGGCGACCCTTAATATATATACACATATGTATTTATTTTTTTAATTTTTATTTATTGTTTTTTTTTTTCTTTAAAGTAAGCTCTATGCCCAATGTGGGCCTTGGACTTATGACTCGGAGATCAGGAGTCGCATGCTCCACTGACTGATGTAGGCACCCATGGATACACACTACGTTAAAACAAAGCAAAACACAGAGGTGGTTGAGTGACTGAGGTTAGGAGAGATCTCAGAGGGACATAATTTTAGGGGTAACTCCAACTAGCCCTAATAACATCCCACCCCACCATAGGACTGAGCCCCTGGTGGAAGTTCACCAAAAGCTGAATGTCTTGATTACTATTTCATGCACATTTCACTTCGGTTTGAACTAGAGATTGAGCAGAGTCTACAGATAAACCAGTTACTTGAACACTCGCTGGAGACACATCATAGCATCATTGACAAACCGCGAAAAGCGCTGTGAGTTAACACTGCCTACTCTCACCAGCTCGGATTTTTCAGAAGGGGCATTCTTCAGCTCTATCTCACAATCTGTTCTCCTCAAAGACACTTCCAGGCGTACCTGCTCATCATAGGCCTCGTTGACAAAAGTCTCACTGTTCATTAGATTCTCCTCCTCTTGGGTATTGTCTTTATGGCGGGTCGAATTTCTTGATGCTGCTGCACTATTTCTAAGAATCAAAAAAAAAAAAAAAAAAAAAAAAAAACCAGAGTCAAAAGAATTGTTCCTTGAGGTTGAAGCTGCGGTGGGTCAATGGTTGGAAAGGGCCGACTCATCCCCTATCAAAGGCTACTGTTATGGGTACTATGTTCTGTTTTGTCTTTAGAATCAATCAAATGACCCAGAATGGGTGATACTTGAGTCAATTATGATTTGTTAATAGGCATTCACTTGACTTCCAAAAGAATACAGCTTCTCCATTGGGGGACTCTACTAACTGGGGTCAAGCAGAACAGAATCCAAGGACAAGTTGGTAGCTAGTGGATATTGGAGGCAGGTGAGCTAAGAAAGCAGATTAATGTGGTAAAAAGACCTGCAGTGACCATCAAAACCCCACGGGTAGCATTTCAGTCATTCTTAACATTAGTAATCTGTTAACCAGGGTTCCCTTGGGCAAAGATACACCATTTCTCTCTCCTGGCCTTTTCTTTAGTCTGTGAGTGCTGGACAGAGACATAACTTTTCAAACTTCCTTATCTCTGTATTTCTTGATATATAGGCTGCTTAATGTCCCTTCCCAGCATACAAGTGGACCCTAACCAGCACATGTGACCTAATCGGTGTCTTCAGTCTGTGGTATTTGTTATAGCAGCCCCGGCGAACTAACTCATCCCTGCCTTTTTTTTTTTTTTTTTTTTTTAAGTGAACCAACTGGGAACCATGTTAAAATTTGAATTCCTGACTCACTCAGTAGGTCTGGGTTTTCTTCTTTTTTTTTTTTTTTTTAAAGATTTTATTTATTTATCTGATAGAGATCACAAGTAGACAGAGAGGCAGGCAGAGAGAGAGAGAAGAAGGGAAGCAGGCTCCCTGCCAAGCAGAGAACCTGATGTGGGGCTCGATCCCAGGACCCTGTGATCATGACCTCAGCTGAAGGCAGAGGCTTTAACCCACTGAGCCACCCAGGTGCCCCCATCCCTGCCTTTTTTCTCCAGCCATTGGCATGAACTCGGCCTTGTTGGCAAAGAACCTCATCACTTCATCCCTGAGATTGTGCCTCTGGGGCTGAGGCAGATTCTAGCTGCATGAATGCCTCCTACCTCTTACAATACCATTTGCCTCAGGTCCCAAAGAGGTGACCTCTGTTGTCTCTCCAGGTCATCTAACAAGTGAGGGCTGCCTCATCCCCGAGATCCTTCCTCAGAGGATAAGTTCTTAGGGAAGGAGCCATACCTCTAACCCCATGAGTCCTATAAGCCTTCTTTGGAATGAACTCTCCCATGAGGACATTTGAGAACTGCTCACCTTTTGAATTTGTGGTCTCTTCTGGAACAGACAAATGCTCCCAGAGCGACTAGTGCGACTGCTAAGACAATGGTTAAGCTGAGGGCGATGTAGCCAGGGGCAGGTCCACGTGCTGGCTCTTCACAGAACTCTCCACCATATTCCATCGGACAGCGGCACTTTCTCAGCAGGCCTACCATTGTACAGATTCCCCTCCCGCTACAGAAATCTGTGCTACAGGGTAGATGTTTTGCTCTCTGTAAGTTCTTGGGCTGGACAAGCTTGCCTTTTTCCTTGGTGTCTGAGTTCTTGCTTTCTCTAGCAGAAACTGGAGGGATTAGTGTTTTTCTGACAGGATAACTCATCCCCTCTGGACCCGGATATCTAGACTTGGTGGACTTGGGAGCTTGGAAAGGTAGGGAAGCTTCTGGAGTCAACCTTTTTCCAGCCTCTGCATTTTTAGATGTTGGTGTTGAATGGGTTTTATCTGGATACGTACCTACAAAAACAGGTGTGAGTGTGGGTATATACACATATTTGTCAGAAAGGATTACAGAAGAAGAATTCTAGAAGACTTAACCAGATAAGTTTGAATCTGTGAAGTCACCATTACCACTACCTTTTGGCCGACCAAAAAACAATTAAAAACATATAAAAAACTGCATATCCTAAGGCACTTAAACTGTTTGGTTCCAGGACAAGTATATCATACCAATCTATTTTTAAAGGATGGTATGCCCAGTTTTAGTCAAGGCAGATTCCCTCAATTACAAAAAGGTTTTATTCTATAAGGAATAGTATGGTAGATCTAAGTGGTAAATATCTAGAAAGATTTTTAAGATATATGTTTATCTGTAAATATGATTTTTTTTTTTTTTTGGTCCAAGTAAACTGTTGGTTTTGCAAGATCTACAAGCTGCAAATCTTCGACTGGATTTGGTGGCAGTAGTGGGCAGGAGGGAGTAGGCAACAGGGTATTTTTAACACCAATCTGAAAGTCAGGTTTGCCTGTAGGTATTTCACCTTATCCTCCATCATTGTTGGCACAAGCATCATTCCGTGTACAAATCAGCATGAGATACTTGTTGAGGAGTGGAGCCAATTCCTGATCGTCAGGTTGAGAGCAAGTGAGGGTACTTTAGGCTTCTGGTGTAGTTCTCAAACCAGATGGCGAAGACAATCCATTTCTTGCTCACTGACCTGCCTCTAGAGTCGCTGTAACGTGAGGTTTTTGAGAAAACCGCCCTCATTCGTGAGACCATAGAATCAACTCTGGGAATCAAAATCTATTAATTTTCCTATTTAAGATTGAAATTGCGAGGTCAGTAAGAACTCTTCACTCCAAGATTCCTTTTCCAGTTTGTTCTCTTACTAGTTAGGACAAGTTTCAGTGCCGAGCCCACTGTTGCTTCAGCTCTACAGCCGCCATGACTTGGCTACCACTGGAGTGCTGTAGAATTTGAGCATAGCGGCTACCACAGAATTAGCTACCACAGTTGCTCAGCCGACCGGACATGACAACACCTTTCCATGAAGGCCGTATTTGGCAGTAAGATTTCTATAACAACCATCTACTAGCTAGAGTTTAAGAAGTAACCTGACAATGGTATGTACTCATATGGCAGATTTAGTCACACACTCTTGTATTCCGTAACTCTTTGAGGCAGAAAGTGCTACTTCCACATTAAAAGGGGGGACCCGAACTAAGGTCAAATCATTTACCCCACCTCCTCCTCCTGGACCATGCTCGCAATGTGATCCATTTAAATGGACAGAATCAGATGTAGTTAAATAGTGTTCTTTCAGACAGCATACAAACTGTTGAGCCCTACGGAGCTATCACATCGCCAATACTAAAACTTTCCAGAAGACGTCCATGTAATCTATATTCAACTGCCCATAGTTAGAAGTTTTACGTTGTTCAGTTTAAAAGCGCCAGTGATAAAAGGCAGTGATTGAGAGGATAAAAACTTCAGGGATATTATAGAATTAGATATTAAGAATTAGGTTGAGATATTAAGGATTATTTTATTAAATATTCAAAGTACGTCATGTATGGTGATCAACAGTGGGGTCCTAGATAGGAATTACTCACAGCGCATCTCATCAGATCCATCCAGACAGTCAGCATGACCGTCACAAACTTGCTCCATGGAAATGCACTCCCGACCATCCTCACAGGCCCGGGACGGCTCAGAGCACGGGACAGCTTCAACACATTTGCTTTCGTTAGCCAAGTAGTGCCCACTGGGGCATTTACACGTCGCTCCTTCAGGGTTTGGTAGACACATGTGGCTGCACCCTCCGTTGTCTTTGGAGCAGCTGTTACTACCTGTGGACCCCCCCCCCCAAAATAAACCACTTTGATTTAGATGGTTTCATAAGGGTCTTCTGCCAACATTCTACAAATACGCTATCAGAGTTACAGGACCCAGATGTTTTTTCCAGAGTGGACAGCTTTTCAGTTTAACTCCACTTGGCCAACCAGGTGCCAGGTGATCAGTGATTCTTCACCGTGAATCACACTGGAGAATTCTAAGAAAGTTCTCTCTGCAAAGCCAAGACTTCAGAAGTTTAAGCTTGACTAACATTAGTTTACAGAGTTTAGCTTTCCAGAACAAAGCAACGGAGTAGCGTTCGCTTAAGACCAATGTAGTCAACATCCCTGGTAGTGGTAGGTGTGGTGAACCATTTGAGCTCACATTGTTGGTGTTCCTCTCGCCTAGGAAAAGACTGTATCTATGACTACTTTAACTAAGCCCATCATCGCTCTACTCAAACACTGGAGAAAAGCATCTGAGCACCCCCAAGCTGGATTTTCAAGGATGAGTCAACATCATAAGCAGATACACATGACAATAAGTAGAATAAAGATGAGTTCTAGTGCAGAGCTAAAAGATAATTTCAATTATACCACAGTTGTAATTCCTCCTACAAGAGAACATAAAATCATACTAAACTCGAGCCCAATATATATACCACTATTTTGTCTCCTAGAAAAGTAACGGGACTAGTTTTATACCAGAACTATACTATATATAACTGCATGAAGACAAGAGAGCTATGGAGATCTATAAGAACTTGCCAGAGAAGTAACTTAGTGGGAAACACAAAGCCATTTCAAGGAGATACTGCAGGGCAGAGGATCCCCTTCAAAGGGAAATTCAACAGGCTTCTGTGTTCTCATCACTGCAAAGTTGCTTACCCTGTTGACTAAGTTTACTGTAAACTTTTAAATCCACAATCTTCTGATCTATTTGGAACCACTGGTCTTCTGAAAGTTCTGCCTTGCCGTACCAAACTTTAGTGATTTGTGCTGAAACAAAAGCCAGTGAACAATCATTAAGAAAAGCAAATTTTAAATTCTTTCGAGAAAAGCAAATTTTAATTTTAAGACAACTTCTTCTGCAAAGAAAATTGCTCACTGTGAAAATTGTCACCCATCTGCATAAACTCCAGTTGAATAACAAGAGTTTTACAGAAGAGACATGTGTTTTTCTAAATTTTTTTTTTCTGGAAAGAAATTTCAAGACAAATAAAAATAGTTCTATGCTTTCCTCCAGAATAAAATCAAGTGTAAGTTATGTTGAGCATTCATATATGTCCAGAAATACAAAGATAGATGATTAGGATAGGAGACACTTAAATGTAGTCCATGCAAATGATGGGTAATGATTTTAAACATTGTTCTAGAACATATCTGAAAATGGCTTTCTGCAGTAAGTGTCACCAGTGGATCTCAAAACAGAGAGCAAAGGTCTCACCACATAGCTAATAAATTAGCACCTCTGGAGGGTAGGATCTACCCAACCTGTTTTTGCAATTATAACATGGCCAGCCCAACTTGTTAATGGACCAGCGTTTGGAAATATTAAAGAGATAGATTTTAAATAGAGTTTTCCAGTTTAACAAAATCTAGACTCTAGCCAGAAACAACATATTAGAACACTGTTGTTTAGGAAAAACCGCTTTAAATACCAGTAATACCCTGCAAGGACAGAATATTCCGTAGTTCACCTTGTACTTTCCTGTGTATGAGTCAAGTGAGACACGTACTCATTTTATAGGCAAGGTATTCCAGCTACTAACTGACTGAGCAGTTATCTCACCTGGTTCCAATTCCTGGCCCAGTTCTCTCTGTACTATATCAGAAGGCCCTCAAAAGCAGAGAGCCTCAGATCAAAGCCAGCAATGTCAGGCAGAACAGGATTAAGCATCTTCACATATAAAGAATCACCAAATAAGTCAGTTTCCCCAAGTCATAGAATCCCTGTTACACATACATGTTCAATTAGGGAAGTTGCTTAATTAGTCCTTCCAGAAGACAGACTTTGCCAAGATCAGTGCGAGACATTGGCAGATTTGCTTTAGAGACCCAGGAGTAAATTCAGATCACAAAGACAATCAGACATTGAATAAGACATACCATCATCAGTTGTCATCCAGAACATCACGCCTTGTCCAATGGTAAAGAGGGTAAGGCCCTCAATGCCTCTGCGGTCTACTCTGTACCCAGAGCCATCTTGTTGAATACTCTCTATGAGGCCTCGCCCTGGAGAGAAAGACTCAGTTAATCTCACTTAGCCCACCCAGCTCTACTCCATCCTGCAGCTCTTTGCGTCTTGTCTTGCCTCCCACCAGGAGGACACTGTCTTCTCTGCATTTTCTGAAGGACAGTTCTTCATTTACTCTACTCTAACAGTGATACACCGAAGATTGGCTCAGGCACATTGGTTAAGTTCTCGATTTTTATGCCTTCACAAAGGGACAACTGCATGACTCTGTGGGCTTATATCCTACTCAGAATGCGGTTTGTCTGGAAGGTGGTGCAGAATATGTAAACTCAGGCCTAAAACTGTTTGGAGTCATAGCTGAAGAGCAGAAAGCAGAACATCACTCTTTCTCTCTGGCCAAAGTCCTTCAGTCAGGGTGTTAGGGTGTGTTCTAATTGCTTACCAGTATCAGCCCAGTAAACTCGGGTTCCCGAATCTGACAAGGTCAGGCCCGCAGGGACCTGGGATTTCTGCCACAGCACCTTCCTCCTGCGGCCGTCCATGGAGGCACATTCAATGCTGGACCCACGCCCGCCATCGTCCTGGGCACCCAGGTCCGCAAAGCACATGACTGCAGAGGGCGGGTGGAGCACAACCGAGGCTGGCCGGTAGAGATTTTCACTGACCAGCACAGTGGGATACTGGCCTTTTGAGGAAGCTACATTGATGTGAGGATTCTCACTGTCAATCCAATATATGTTTCCACTCAACCAGTCCACAGCAAAGTCGGTGACTGTTCCCTCCACCATTAGGATTTTCCTCCAAGAGAGTTTTCCAGATTCTTTGAGCCTCAGTAGCCTGATATCACCATTATCCAACTCTGAAAGGTAGAGAGCCTTTTCCTGGACTATGTAATCCAGGGATGCAAGCTGGTTCACATCGGTAAAGGGAAGTATCCTATGTTCTGGTAAAGTTGGTCGTCCTAGTAAAGCTTCTAGATTTTTCAGATAAATCTATGGGAAAAAAAAATAGGTGGATGGCACCAGCTGAATCTAGTGTAATTCTCCATCTTGATTTTGCAATAATGTCACAATATTGAGAATCTAGGGAAATCTGAACTTATCATCTAAAAACAGTCATTATTTCTCTCCCTTCCTGGAGCTTTAAGCACTTAAATGTCCTTGAATCCATGTGTTTCAAAGATCGACCCCTTTGTTAAATGCCCTCCCCTTTATTTGGTAAATGTTTGAGCTATAATTGACATACAACATTTGTCTAAGTTTACCAGGATTGTCTAGTTTACTAAGTTTTTCGAAGGTGTACAATGTGTTGCTTGGATACACTTGTATACGAAAGGCCTTCCCCTTTAAATGAGACTCTACTATTGATATCTTACTGAAACTGAAGTCAACCCTCCATACCTACATTTGTCATTTTAAAGTGACCAAGTTGTAAATGTGGTAGAAGTTATTAGAAATAACTTATTTGTTGGTATCTCCTTTGACTTAAGAAAAGTTCCCTCATAACTTGTACTTCCCCCTCACCAGGCTAAAACCCAGCTGAGCTGCTGGGACTAGAATTACTCTATATCATCAGCAAGATGCCTGGACAACTATGCCAGACGCACCACACTCTCAGAACCCTACCCCGTGCGCTGGCGTCCTAGTTCTCAAGGAGTGTCCGCATTTCATAGCCACTTCATTTTGGGTCGTGATCGCTCCCAGGACACAGTGAATACTAAAATTTAAGTTGTATGTGCAGAATATTCCAAGGGAAACTGGGGCTGGCTGGCTTGGTCAGTAGAACATGCGACTCTTGATCTTGGGGTCGTGAGTTTGAACCCCACATTGGCTGTAGAGATTATTTTAAAAATTTAAAAAAAAATTAAAAAAGAATATTCCAAGGACCAGGGCCCCTACTATTATAACTGTTGCCTGGAGAATTCGAATTAGTCCGAAACAGACCGTGGCCCAGGCACAGACATGTGAGTGAGGCTACGGACCAGCACCTGCATGATAGCTGTGGGCAACGCGAGGAACAGAAATGCAGAATCCTCGAGCGGAATGCAGGTGGTGCCGTCGTCCGCGAGCAGGAGGCCAACTGGGCAACGACAGCTTGCCTTGGATCGCGGGCTCAGAAGGCACAAGTGAGAACAGCGGGCGTCCAGACAGGGATTAGGAGCCTTGGGCTGGAGTACTTCGTGCATTATCTGCAAGAGAGTAGCTGGATGTCACCGGGCCTTGTTGAATCCTCACAAACAGCAAGTGAATAACCCTTGCTTTTTAATCACGACAGAAGGAGGTCACTACAGTCTGTACTTGGGAAGGTCATACTGGTAGCCTTTTCAGGGAGAATTAGGGGAATTTTTTTTTTAAGATTTTATGTATTTATTTGACAGAGAGAGACACAGCGAGAGAGGGAACACAAGCAGGGGGAGTGGGAGAGGGAGAAGCAAGCTTCCCGCCGAGAATGGAGCCCGATGTGGGACTCAATCCCAACACCCTGGGATCATGACCTGAGCCAAAGGCAGACGCTTAAGGGCTGACACTTAAGGGTGCCCCTAGGGGAATATTTCTGAAGAGTACACTGGAGACCTTGAGTCCATGAGGCTGCTGGGAACGCTTGATGAGAACAACCCTGTTCTTGCCTGTTGTCTTCTTCACGCGCTGTATTGTTCTCGTCTTCATCTCAGACCAGAAGACTTCATCTTCAAACACAACGACCGAAAAGGGGCTCCTGATTTGTGTTAGCTGCAACATCTAAAATGGGGCTGATGAGGTTTCTGGGAGGAGTTTTATACAAGGCATAAGACATCTCACACCGCCTGATACCAAGGAATACTTACGCTAACACCAGTACCATCCAGATTAGCAGAGCCAATACAGTGAAATTTGTCATCAGACCAGAATATCTTCCAGCTCAACCGGTCGAGAGCTATGCTGGTTGGCAAGCCAAGACCTTGACTGATGAGGACTTTCCTGCCACTACCGTCCATCCCCGCTTGTTCTATTTGAGGTTCTCCTCCGATTTCAGACCAGTACATTAACCTGTGTGGACAAAAGTCAGCTGTAAAGTGTTACTTCACAGACAATATCGATTCATTCCTTGAAACACAATTATATTTTCCTCAAAATTGGTCTGTGCCGTAAGTGAAATTGTGAAAAAAAAGAGTTTCCCTGGAAATCTTAGGGCGCACCTTCATCATCGTGTGGGGATAAAATACCACGACGGTTATAAGCAGCCAAGGAACATAGTAGTTCCTGGACCTGGAAAATAGGGAACCTGCCTTTTTCTCCTGGGCCGGAGAGCAGGCTGGTTCTATGGGAAGAGGTGTACCTCGGACTTCACTGGTCACAGTCAAGGCCAATAGACGCCTCAGTAACGATTGCCAGTTTCCTGAGGACCATGGTAACAGATTCCTGGTAGAAGGTATTGAAAAGGGGAGAAAGCAGATAGAGGGTACCCAGTCGAGATCACCGTTCAGTCCTAAGTTTTGCTCCATCTTGCTCTTACATTCAGTACACGCATGGCCACCGCAATGACGGCTGGGCTCTGACAGTTAGAATATGTTGTTTCTAAGTTCCCGGACTTTTCCAGAGAGAAAGGACTCTGGATGGAAGAACCTTGATTCACCCTCACACGCAATTATTTTCCCCACTACTACCAAGCCCATTAATGCAAATTAAACACTATTCTTGGGTGCCTGGGTGGCTCATTCGGTTAGGCATCCGACTCTTGATTTCAGCTCAGGTCATCATCCCCAGGTCCTGGGATCGAGCCCCATGTCGGGCTCTGCACTCTGTGGGGAGCCTGCTTGAGGATTCTCTCTCTGCCCTTTTGCTCTCCCTGCTTGCCCTTTCTCTCTCCCTCTCGCAAATAAATAAATAAATAAATAAATAAATAAATCTTAAAAAAAAAAAAAACCACCATCCCTAATTCCATTCTTTTTCCTCCTGCCATTTAAAGCCATAAAAAAAAAAATATACCTCTGAAGGGAGAATTACGTTCACAGAAGAAAGTTTAGGTGAGCCACCAAGTGTGAACACCTATACCTCACTTCACTGAAATAAAGAACTTTTATCAGAAGCTTTTAAGATTACTATACGTATGGTTGACCCACATCACCATAAGATTTAAAGTCAAATCAGATAGGTTTTTTAGTCCTTCTGTGTTGAGTGAAGAGCACCAAAGTAGAACTAAAGAGGAATAATGCACTTGAACGACTTGACTGGTGTTCTGCACCCTGGACTCACCCATTTAGCGGATCTAAAGCCAAAGACCGTGGCTGAGCCAAGTCATCGCCCAGGACAATCGTGTGCTCGCATCTTCCTCTCCACACAGCCGTCAGCTGAATGGCCGAAATCTGGCCTGCTGTCCCATCCACCCAGTAGAGGTTCCTCCCAATCCAGTCGACCGCCACACAGTCTGACTTCATCCCTGAAGAGAGAGCGGAAACCATGCCGCACGTGAATCCAGGCTGAGTCACGGCTCCTACTAGGTTTCAGATCATAGGCATCAGACTCGAAAACCATGTTAAGTCATCCTACAACTGGTGCACGCGTCTCCATCAGAGCAATTTCTATTTGCAGAGGAGGATGACCATTAGAAATAGAGGCCACTGGCTGACTCGCATGGTCTACTGAGGGGACAATGGAGCTTTCCATCTCTAGCCCACTAGCAGGCCTCAGTCCATTTTAGTGGAGAAGATTTCACTGAATCAACGTTTAGACTGTTAACAACCATTTCATTCTGCGTGTTATATGTAATTCGTAAGGGCAGGATGAAGCCCGCATGGGACATACCCTTCACCACGGTCCCTTTCCTCTTTGTGTCCATACTAATCCACTTAATGCTTTCGGCACCGGGATCCATCCAGAAGACCTTCTGCCCCACTAAGTCATAGTCAATGGAGAAGATCATCACGTTCTTGTCCACAGTCGTCAGAATGTCCTCCTTCAAGCTCCTCAAGCCGTAGAGGAGGAGGTTGAACTGAATCGCCACCAGCAGGATGGGTTCGGTACCTGCCAGATAAGAAATGCGTTCAGCGTGTGGCCTTACGGAGCCTGAATGCTGAGCTCAGCCCTGGCTAAGGAACCAGAGAGCAAAGCAGCCTTTGCCTTCTCGCTGCCAGGGCTGGGGGTAGCCCCGTAGTTCTCCCCTCGATGTGCTGCTTCTGCTAATACCCACCATTTAAAAACACTTAGAATAAAGGCATGATTAGCATAAACTAGGAAAAAAGACATTTCTAACTAAGTATTTAAGCTCAGGTGGGCAGGAAAGAGGGCTTGTCAAGACTTTTGACACTTATTCTAACTTGAGGTAAGGCTGACCTGTGGTTAGAGGGGCCTGAGCCATGGTTCTGTCATCACAACGGCTTATCTGTAGACACCTTCCTAGATCTAATTCCATCTGAAATACTCCATTTAAAAAGGGGATCTGGAGAATGTTCTAGGCTTGCTTGGCAGGCACAAGCAGGCAGGAGCGTTTAAGACTTGAGAAAGAAGGTCTGCATTTGTCTTCCTGGAGAGTCAGGACTTGAAAGTTCCTGACCCAGGGCTCAGGAGACATCAGGGTTCCAGCTTACCTGCTGCTTTACAGGTGTGGCCATCAGGCTCCAGTGAGTAGCCAGGGTGACAGGTGCAGCGGTAGGAGCCCTGAGTGTTGACACAGGTCTGACTGCAAGGCTGACCACCCGGCTTCTGGCACTCGTCCACATCCTTGCAGACCCGGCCACTGCTCCCCAGCTCGAAGCCTTGCTCACAAGCACATACCTGGAGATTTCAAGAACATTGAGACTTCCTGAAGACACTGACACATAACTTTGATGAAAACGCCTGACTTTGCTATTAAAAGCACATGGCGATGTACTTGATTTCAGCAGCTCGAAATGAAAAGTTCTGAAAACCAACTTTGCTTTAAATTGTCATCCTCTCAGTCTTATCAATGGCACCGCACACCTCACACCCTTGCTACCACGGTGGGTGCTGAGTTAACTAACGTAGGGGTCCAAGTTCAGCCCAGGATACCTAGAATCCCAGCACAACCAGTACGAGGCATGGAGACTGAACTGAACGGGCTGCCTGCCAATGGAGAGGTTACCATGATCAGACGTCAGAACACTGTTTTCTTCTACTTGCCCATCAGAGTCAAGGTCACGATGTTCAGCCAGCTGATAATGTTAGACCAGAACATCGGCAGTCCTCAATTTAAGGGCAGGTCACATTCCAAATACACATATGGAAGACAAGTCCATAAACATGTCAGGCTTAGTCCCAAGTGTCACCCCAAGCTCACACAGCAGAGTTTCTGGAGGCTGGGTGGTCAAGTTCTAGGAGACACGACATAGGGGAGGAACCTGACAGGACTCAGGAGCCAGGAGGGGCTCGGCGGACACGAGAGGACAGGTCAGGACAGCTCAGCCACGTAAGACTGAGGGTTTCATGAGCAGTCAGGACCGACCGACGAGCCTCCCCCCCGTCACTAGACTCAGTCTACGGCTGCCGGCGAGCAGTAGCGGCATGAACTCACAGGCCCGTGCGGGGACCGGTAGCAGGTGTGGGAACACCGCGCCCCGCTGCATGCTGACGACAGGCACATCCCACCTTCATCGGAGCCGTCCGCACAGTCCTCCTTCCCGTCACACAGCAGGCGGAGGTCGAGGCAGCCGAGGGAGCGGCACTGGAACTCAGAGCTCGGGCACTTCTCGGGGCGGCCTCGAGAGGATGATTTTCTACTGTTATATCGTCTGCTCCCTGCCGCCCCGAACATCCCTTCCTTGGCAAGGATGCGCAATCAAGACACCCCCGTCCTGTCAGGGCCGGTAGCACCTGCTGGCTGAGCTGGCTTCTCGTACCAAGAGGAAGCAAGCAGTCAGCGTCCCTGGGAGCCCCCTCCCTCAGGGGGAGCCCCCACACTTACACCCAGCCTCGTCGCTGCCATCCTCACAATCTCTCTGCCCGTCACAGCGCCACACGTCAGGCACACATTGGTCTCCACCGGCACAGGACCACTGCCTGGAGCCACAGCGAAGCTTCTCGGGTTCACAGTCCTGAGGGGACAGTGACTTGGTCAGCGACACCGGCACTCAGAGCGCAGGATGGGGTTCTTGGAGGGAGAAAGAGCCTGGTTTATAAGACAATGCTTGAGTCCCTTTTGCAAGGAGGCCAGAGAAGCCCCAAGACTCAGAAAAACATTTCCAGCAGGTATTTAAGTGAAGAGGTCTAGGTAAAGCAACATGGACATGAAGAGAAAAGAAAGGTCTTATTTTGTCAAATCGGGGCATCTTCATGTAAGAAATCTAAGAATAAGGGCACCTGGGTGGCTCAGTGGGTTAAGCCTCTACCTTCAGCTCAGGTCATGATCTCAGGGTCCTGGGATCGAGCCCCGCATCGGGCTCTCTGATCAGCAGGGAGCCTGCTTCCCCCTCTCCCTCTGCCTGCCTCTCTGCCTACTTGTGATCTCTCTTGCTCTCTGTCAAATAAATAAACAAAATCTTAAAAAAAGAAAGAAAGAAAGAAAGAAAGAAAGAAAGAAAGAAAGAAAGAAAGAAAGAAAGAAAGGAAGGAAGGAAGAAAGAAAGGGAAAGGAAAGGAAAGGAAAGGAAAGGAAAGGAAAGGAAAGAAATCTAGGAATAAGAATGATAAGAATGTGCTCTAGAAACTTTTCTTTAGAATTCCTTTGCCATTTGGGGTCACCTGGGTGGCTCAACTGGTGAAGGGTCTCCCTTCAGCTCAGATCCTGATCTCAGGGTCCTGGGATCAAGTTCCGCTTCACGCTCCCTGCTCAGTGGCAAGTCTGCTTCTCCCTCTGCCTCTCCCTTTCCCCCGCTCTCGCTCTCACTCTCAAATAAATAAATAAAATCTTTAAGAAAAAAAAAAGAAGAATTCCTTTGCCATTTCCAAAACCATCCCTAGCCCACTGACATTCCGGCCTCCCTTGCACCTCCCCTGATGTGGACACTGTGCTTTGGGGCAGCACGTGCTAGAGGAGGGGAGGGGACATCTGTGCCCCTGCTAACATCCCTGAACCTTTACAGGCATTCTCACCCCCTCAGGCGCCATGAGGCCTATCTCCTATCCATTTGACAGACCAGAAAGTAGAACATGAAGGAGTAAGTGCTTTCTTCGGGTCAAACGCAAGCAGCAGGATTCAAGCCAGACTGCACCTCCCACAACGTGGCAGGGTCGTGGCTGCTCAGTGACGGGGAGGCAGAGCTTTGGAGCAGGTCTCTAGGGGGACATTTATACCATAGCCACGAAGACCCAACACTTGCAAACCTACAATAAAAACCACTTAAACATTTGCCTTTTGACAAGAGATCTTCTCACTCCAGACACCCTGACGTCGTGATGAGTGGCTCTCTGGGCAGGAGGGATGAGAAGCCTTCTCTGTTCTTGGGTTTTCTCACATTTTCTACAGGAAGACACATGTTCTGGTTGTGAGGAGAAATCAGTTTTTCTGGAGAAGGGTGCCCTCCCTACCTTTTCGTCAGTCCCATCTTCACAGTCGAAGTCACGGTCACAGAGCCACGCCACGGGCACGCACTCTCCGCTGCCCCGGCACTTCACCTCCCCCGACGGACACTGCAGCGGCCAGGCCCCAGAGCAGCCATCCTCATCCGAGTGGTCCAGGCAGTCTCGGTTCCTGTCGCAGTGCAGAAAGTGCGAGATGCATTGGCCGTTCTCGCATTGAAATTCAAAGGCGCTGCACTTCGCCTGAACTAGAAAACAAAGCTTGGGTAAGAAGTCAGCCAGATGTGGAAGCCATTTGAGGGCACGTGGAGCAGTTTGAAGACTCCCCAGTTTTCTGCTGTCACCTGGGGAACTAAACCCCAGCGCTCAAGGTGGTTAAATAGTCTTAGGCTAGAAAAGTCCTACTAAATAGCCCAGAAGAACCCTGTCTCAGAGAATGAGGGCTGGGGGACAGGCAGGGGGCACACATGGAAGGACACTGGGAGAGGCTGAGGAGTAGGACTCTCCTCTGGGACCTTATTGTCATCCATGAGGAGAGAAAGTCTCTCATGACACCCAACATACCCTACATGTTATGTTCTTGGGCTCAGTTCCTACAGATAGAAGTTGCTTGACTTGGCTCAAGAAAAAAGCTTAGGTTCTACACAAAACCATAAATATGCATTGAAAAGTAAATTATACCCGGTGTTCCTTCCTGCCTCTCCTGATGTTCTTCTCGTAAACCCAAGTGCACTGTTACTGTCCAGCTACTCCATGGCCTCTGCATTCAAATCTGTCATGATACCTCACCCAGCTTCCTCTTCTTCCCACTTCAATTCTCCAAATTCTCTCTTCTACCCTATTCCCACAATGTGATTAAGGGCCTTGAAACAGGCCACTGGGAAGACTAAAAAGAAAGATGGTGTATCCTAACGAAAAGAGGGGAAAGCAATCACACCTAAAGATAAGGATGGCCGACCACACGAGAAGACTTAGGATCAAAATTAAAATCTTCAAGATGGTCAATTCCAGCTCAAGAAACATTGCTTCAAGTAGACTGGTTTTCCACTAATGGGAATCTTGTCACAAAGAGGGAAGTGTTGTACCATGATCTCCAACATCTTTCCAACTCAGATCCTTTCATCCCAGTCTGCTACCTTTGTGGTAAGTACAGTCCTTCTTCGCTATTTGCAGGTTCCTTATTTACACATTCACCTACTTGCCAAACTTCATACCCCCACCCTCAAATCCATGCTCCCATGCCTTCATGGTCATCTGAAGATACGCCTACACAAAGCAGAAAAACACTTGTGTTGCCTAGCGTGTGTTTCCAGCTGAGATGGAACGAGGTGACGCTCTGCCTTCTCGTTTCCGTCCTCACACTGGAAACAAGTGTCCTTTCCAAAGTCTCTTTAGAGCCATAGTTCCCACATTTTTGTACTCTGGGGGAATTCTGCTGTTGAAAAGCTCCCCCCAAGGGCAGAGCGGAAATGAGGTCTGGCGTTCCTAGTGCCAGACGTCGAGAGCCGCCTCATGGAGCAAATGCACGTGTCGAGCTTTGTCGGGGCAGGTGTTACCGTGCTGGGGCTGTGGCTTCAGTGTCAATGAGCTGACAATGTGCACATCAAGTAGTCTCTAAACAGGCTGCACTAAAACAAGGTTTTATGTTGGTCAGTCGACAAAAGTACTGTCACGAGAGAGTCTCAGAAACGTCTCTTCTATGGGCAGTGATGTGGGGTCTGTGCATTCGGGGTCGGTGGCAACCTCGTAGAACACAAGGTCCCCGATGTGAGCTGCACGGCACTTACCACATCCTTGTTCATCGCTCCTGTCAGAACAGTCGGGGTGGCCGTCACACAGCCAGCTCTTGGGGACACAGAGGGTGTCGTTGTCACAACGCAGAGAACATTCTTCAGCGGGCTTCGAGCAGCCCAGCTCGTCAGACCCATCGGAGCACTGCTGAGCCCCATCACAGCGGAACGTCTCCTCGACGCACTGGTTTCTGTTCAGACACTGGAAGAGCCCTGAGACGGGAAGGACCGGGGGTTTGCACCGTCTGCTCAGTCCTACTGAAGGCTGATAGTTAGATGAACGCCCCCTCACTCTGGGGCTTAAGGGGTAGACTGCATCCTATCTGATCAAGCTCTATAGCTTATCTAATCCCTAAGCAAGCTTTAATAAAGTGCTCAGGTCAGTTAAGTTAACCAGCTGAAAGAGGCTGTTCCAGTAATAAGGACTCATATTGGTTTGGGTACTTGAATAACTTATGGAAAATCACTGCCAAATCTGTTCTGAGTGGTCCATTCCAGTTGGCTCATGGCTCAGCCTTTATAAAGGCAAACCCTGGAACACTTAAGCAAATTTAAGGAGACAAGGAAGCAATAGTTAAAAATTACACCCGGTAAAACGTCTGACTTAATGTGATAAAATGGATACTGGTAGAGTCCGTATTCCGACAGACTAGGACCTTTAGCTACGACACTTTACCGAGGGGAGGCAAGGGTACTTGTGATCAACGCTGGTCACTCCTACCCTGTGGCATTCCTCCTGACACAGAGACAGACCTGGTCTGCTGCAGAACCGGGCACAGTCCCCTTCGTCCGAGCCGTCCTGACAGTCCGGCTTGCCATCGCAGAGGTACTCCCGAGAAACGCATTCCTCCCCGTTCCGACAGGGGACAGAAGACGGGGTACAGAGCAACGGGGGTGTAAGAGGAAGCACAAGAGGACCATCTGCAGCCACTCCTTCGAGCTCAGGATCTGCAATAAACAGTGGCGTCAGCAAGGCTGGTCCTGGGCTCCGGGCACCAGAGACGTGCTTCTGCGTTCCCCTCCTCCCAGAGCCAGGTTGGGGCCGGGCAGCTATGTGTGCCTCCCTCGTAAGAAGAAAAAAGTGAAATGGCCTCAAAGCCTAGATCCTTAGGTCAGATGTGATCCATTGGTCCATCATCATCTGATGGCTTCACATTTGGGCAAATTGTTTTCTCCTTCACGCCTAATAACTTCTTCTCCTGCCTGATACTAGCTGCTAGGAATGAAAAATAAAGTTTCGGGCACCTGGGGGGCTCAGTTTTTAAGCCTCAGTCTGCTTTTGGCTCAGGTCATGATCCCGGGGTCCTAGGATTGAGGCCCCCGTAGGGCTCCCCGCTTGGTAAGAAGCCTGCTTCTCCCTCTCCCACTCCCTCTATTTGTGTTCCCTCTCTTGCTGTGTCTCTCTCTGTCAAATAAATAAAATCTTAAAAAAAAAAAATCAAGTTTCTGTAGACAGGGCCTGGTTCTGGCTCACTCCCTGCTACAGCCCTATAACAAAGCCCCCCCGGGTCCTGTGATAGGATTTCGGCTTTGTCTCCCTCAAGGTCCAGGAACTAACTTTTTGGCTCTGGGCCAAAGGCTTATGTGAAGAGGAAAAAAGCAGCGGTCAGCAGGGTAATCTGAACTACGGGGGCAGCTTCAACAGCGGGGAGGACCTGCTTGTCCCAGTGTCCACAGCCCCAGGATGGTTCCTCAAAGGGTCCTCTGCGAGATGCTGCTGCTGGGGAAAGGGGGTAACATGGTAAAATCTGTTCGGGAAAGTGCTTCAGAATAAATTAAATGGATCTCTTTACCGCCAGATGAAGAGGTTTAAGATGCTAACGTACGAGAGGACTCCCCAAAGGGGTTATGGTGGGCAAACTTCTGGAAGTTTTGCTGGGGGTCGTGTCAATGTAGCAACTTTGAGAAACGTGTGTGTGTGACTCTTACTCCTCCAGGATAAGGCCGAGTGAGGGGGAAGGCCTGCTGCGCTGTGAGTCGGGACAAGGGCCAATACAAACCCCCCCAGGATTTTACCCTCGGCAAACACACAGACCAGAGGCAAAGAAAGTGATTTCAAAGAAGAACCCCACAGAGGAAGACTCGCCTGGGACTTGCTGGTTCTCAGCCAGGATGATCATTGTCCTCACATACGGCTCTTTTGACACGGCGAAGGGCTCCAGTGTCCTCCTGTCCCACAGCAGGAGGGTTCCCCTGTGCACGGTCACCAGGTAGGGCTCGTGAGCTGCAAGAATGCCGTCACTCCAGGTCTTGTTCAAAGTGTATGTTCTATTTTTTAGGAGACTCAGACTTTGCAAACCTAAGGAAGAGTCAAGTGCTTACAGGCTGGCGGAGAGTGAGTAACCTGTGACGGGGGGGGGGGGGGGGGGGGGGGGACGGACACATGGGCAGCCCTCGATTGAGGGTCAATGAGCCCCACTGAAAAGAAGCCCAGATTCTTCCTATTGAGTTTTGTAGGTTTTAGTTTTGCAGTTAAAGATAGTCCCGGAAGGTGTTTAAAGCTCCAGGAACTTGAGATCTGCCACCTGCGAGCGTCAGGCAAGCCCCATCCTATCTTTGGGCAGTATGCAAACACACTCAGTTGCCGGCACGAAGCCACCAGCCCTCGGGGGCGGCTCCTGGTGGAGATGGTCGGAGCCGGCAGCCAGGCAGAAGTAGAAGTTATATCTGGTACCCAGCAGACCGAGCACCTCTGCTTCATTTGCAAGGCAGGTTTGGGTTTGTTACGTCTGCTCATGGAGGCAGAAACCCATTCCGAACCAAAAGCGACTAAGCATGTTAGCTCTGCAGTGTTCTGCCTTTCAAGTAAAAAATGTGGACTTACCAAGGAATCCGAGTCTGAGCTGAGGGACGCGTGCCTAAGCTGTAACTATGAGAACCTAATTCAAGCCCAGGTCTAGCTAGTTCTCGGAATGAGCATTCCTCACGCAGGAAGGAGACTTATCACCACCACTCCTCTGCTTGTACCAACCACTGCTCTGCGTGGCGCTTACCTGACCCTTTGGCTGTCCAGAGGATGCTAGACGCGCCGAGGTCCAAGGTCATGTGGGTGTCTGCTGTCCAGGTGCCCGTCCAGACTTGCCATCTGGTTTTGCCATCGAGGGTCATGCTTTGCAAGTGTTTCCCACTCTCCACCCAGTAGAGCAGTCTCTCTGGCCAGTCAAGAAGAAGATGCAGTATAATGCGGCCTGTCGTGTAGAGGGTCCGGGTGTCTGGGCCGGGGAGTCCAGTCTTCTGGATAGCACGTCGGTCACACGGCAGCCAGTACAAGTTCCCCGTGGATATGTCCACCTTTGCTGAGCAGACTGTGAGGGCGGGAAAGGAACTCCCATTAGGACATTCAAATACATTTGTGCACACCCTTAATGTTTTGGAAGGGAGACGCTCGGAGGGATGCGAAGCCTGGTCCCTAACGAGCCCACATACCTCGTTCACATGAGGAGTCCCATCAGGCCTACTCTGGTTCCAGGCCCTTATCTGTCACACGAGCTCATGTGATCCTCACAATGGGCTGGTAAGGGACACAGCCACCGCCTTTTAGGACTTGGATACCTAAGCGGCAACATTTACGTTTGAATGCAGATATGCAACTCTGCATTCACCTCCCTCTTTGTCAGTTAAGTAGGAAAATCAGTCAATTACATGCCAAGCGCCTGGAACTGAAATGGCTACGGGAAAGCAGAGACTGGGGGAAGTGTCACTACAGTAGTGGTATGAAAAGTCACTGGTAGAGTGGGCGGGGAGTGAGGAGACCTAGAGCTTGAGGACAGAGATAGGACAGGGACCAAGTATATAAAAGCCACAAAGTGGTAGCTTTTAAGCGTAACAGACGTGGGCACTAGCCCACCAAGCACTCCCTACTCCCATTCTGCCCACTAGACCCGCGTAAGTGGATCTCAGCTAGGCAGTACCTACCCTAGGGTGAGTACAGCTTTAAAGTTAAGAGCAGTACTGGGCTAGCAAGTCAGACTGCCATTTTTGAAGCACATTCCAAGATAAGGTGTCAGCTAATTACTGTGGCTCAGTTCCTGCAAATGCGTGATAGGGACAGGGCTTCTCCCAGTTTTGAGGATTCGAGTCGGTACCTATGAAAAGCATAGGAGAGCATCTCTTCTTTGCACAAGTTCGGAACGGCCAGTTGTTGAATTCAGGAACACTGCAAGCTTGCTGTCCAATATAGTCATTTTTAAAATTAAATCACATCAACTTAACTGCACTTGAAACAAAAATACTCCGGTCCTCGCTTTCCTGCACTTTGCTACCCGACACTCCTTCCGAACCCCGTGATAAGTCACCTTACATTGTGAGCCTGAAACTTGCCACTGTGGGAGTATTTTCCACCAGAGGCATTGGCAAACCCTCCAAATCAGGGCTTGATTTGTTTTCAGTTTCCTTTTCTAGACCAGGGACTGACAAAGAATGGCCCTTGGGCCAATTCCAACCTTTGGCGTGTTTTTGTAAATTCCAGGGGAACACACCATGGTCCTTACTGCACATATGGTGGTCAGCTCCTTTGCAGACAGAACAGCACAGTGCCCGACCAGCCTGAGATAGTTGCTGTCTGGCCTTTTATAGAAGGAGGCTGACAACCCTGGTCTGGACTTAAGTGGCAGAGGAAAGTGTTCATATTGCCAATTAAACTCACATGCGTCACACCTATGCCCATGACATTTTAGAGACCACAGAAGTTGGGAAAACATTTTCCTAGATTTTGAAAACTATTATCCAAATCCACAAATCAGTCCCTTCGGTCAATAAACTAATTTCAATTAGTCTTCACTGCTACACTTCCCACTAGTTTACGGAAACTACTGTCAAATTACGTTACAGTAGGACTGTATTTGCTTGGTGATGGCAGCGACTCGGTGCCAAATTGGATCGCAATTGAGCATTTATTCATAGTTGGATTTTGTTAAATTTTGATTGAACTGCAGCTATAAACTGCTTTTTTTATTCTGAATTCTGAGATCTGTAATCAATCTGAAAATCATGTAGCTACATGAAATTTACAACAAAGATCTGTTGTATAGTTTGTTATTTGTAAGTTGTGTTACAACCTTTATATAGGCAAGCTTTATTGCAAACCTATATAATGCATCTATGTGCACATTCCCCATGCCCCCCCACCTCACAGAGCTGGGTCTTAGTAGAACACTCTGTGGTGTGCCGGAATGTGTTTCACAACTCCAAGGTTGGTGCGCCTGGGTGGCTCAGTCGTGAAGCGTCTGCCTTTGGTTCAGGTCATGATCCCAGGGTCCTGGGAATGAGCCCCGCACTGGGTTCCCTGCTCAGCGGGAAGCCTGCTTTTCTCTCTCCCACTCTCCCTGCTTGTGTTCCTGCTCTCACTATCTCTCTCTCTCTGACAAATAAATAAATAAAATCTTTAAAAAAAAAAAAAAGAACTCAAATGTTAACTACGAGGGAGACTGACAAACAGATGAGGCACGAAGCTGGGGCGTGGGTAGCAGAAGGAAGAAGCCTGTACACAGAGGGTTCCTGAGTTCTAGTTCTTCCCACTTCCTGGCTGTTAGGGTGGGAGTTTTACTATTCCTCATGTTTTCACGTGGAGGAACTTGCACAGAGTTGTCCCCCACATTCCTTAAGTCACCCCAGGAAAGAAGGGACTTAAGGCTGGCCAGTTAGTAAGAAGAGACTAGCCACACCCAGATCAGCTTCTCTCTTCTCCTATGGGCTCTGCCTTCTGCACAGAAGACATGTTCTGTATGGTATTAGCTTTAATTGGTGCTGTCTGCACGGTTGCCAGGGCCACAGAAGGTTCTTTGAGCGATTCTGTACAGGTTTCTTTAGGCACTCTTGCCTAAAACAGAATTCTGGAGCCCTCCCATTTTTTTTTCTTTTTTTTAAGCAATCTCCTCTGTATTTCCTAGCCTACATTTTTCAATGAGGACAAGATTCACTCATTCAAGAGAAAACACTGGGGCACCAGGATGACAGAGTCGGTTAAGCATCTGACTCGTGATTTTGGCTCGGGTCGTGATCTCAGGGTCAACAGATCAAGCCCCAAATTGGGCTCGACACTCAGTATGAGTGTGTTTAATCATCTTTCTCCCTCTGATCCTCCCCACCATGTGCTCTCTTTCCCATTCTCAAATAAATCTTCTAAAAAAAAAAAAGAGAGAGAGACAACAACACTGATATTAGCACCTGAAAGCTGCACGCTCACCGGGGTTGTAAGAGACCCGGGGCTCTGCAAACAGGTGCCCATAGGTAGTAACCAGCCTGATCCCTGCTCTGAAGGGTCTGCCTGGCTTTGTCGTGCTTTCAGTCACTTTGTAGGAAGAAACGCACCTGTGTGGCTCCTTTACACCTCCAACACTTCTGACACCAGATGTGGGGTCACCCCCGGGGGGGGTTCCCCATACCAAGCGATTCTGCAACACTAGCCAAATGTCCTACAACCCCGCGGTCTGACCCTGTCCTCCTGGAGTTGGCGTCAGAGCCCACAGGTTAAGGGCTCTGTGCCAAGACTGCCCCCGCTTCTGACGCCAGTCACACGTCTTGGATATCACCAGCACTCTGAGCCACTGGCTCTAAATCAGGGTTCCCACAACGTCCTTGAGTTTGTAAATCTGCTGCTCACAGAACTAAGGGAAACACATTTACTGGTTTATTTCATAAGAGATACAGATGAGCAGCCGGACAAAGAGAGCCACAGGGCCGCATCCAAAGAGCCCAGAAGTAGGAGCTTCTGTTCCCATGGAGATGGGCTGCACCACCCTCCCAGCACACAGATGTGTTCACCCACCCGGAAGCTCTACTGAAGCCCCCGCTTTGGGGATGTCATGGCGGCTTCATTACACAGGCGTGATTGATCCCCGATTCCATTTCCAGCTCCTCTCCCCTCTCCAGAGAACAGGGAGTGGAGCTGAAAGTTCTAAGCTTCTAGTTACAGCTTGATCTTTCTGGTAAACAGCCTCCCAGGGTCGGTGGTAAGGTTTTTAAATTTTTCTGACCTTAAGTCTGGGTAATGTAGAAATGGACCTTAAATTCAATGCTACATTGCACTGCAGACCCCACCAAACTTGCCTCATTCTAACTAAGCTCTTCCTATCACCTAGAAAATTCCAAACGGCTTAGGGGAGCTCTGTGTCTGGTGCTATCACTCAGGAAGTTACAAAGGTCTTAGGAACTCTGTGCCAGTAACCAGGGGACAGAGATGTACATATTTTCTTTTATTTCAGAGCTACCTACCACAGGGACTCCACATTCCACACTAGAAGCCAGCTCAAATGAAACTGCCAGTCCCTTACAAACCCTCGATGTGATCATTGTAACACGGAACCCTATTAGCTAAGATTAGCCAGTGGAGTGAAGGTGGCATTTTAATTGGTGGGGAGAAATGGGGAGAAATTCAAGATCACGACTTTCCTCAGACAGCCACCAGATGTGTTTCAAGAATGCTGTCCGTTCCACTCTTTCCTGAAAGTTCTCTGGGGCAGGTACCGGAAGTTCCTAGGTGCCAGGCGTTGTGCTCGCCCACAGGACTCAGCAGAGCCTACTGCTCAGAAGCGTGTCGGAGGAACATGCATTTCAATATGGTGCTTCCTGTAGTAAAGCTATCATTGATGCTTAGAGTACCCGGGGCCCAGACATTCAGAAATCAAATTACTCACCCTAGAGCTCTAGCCCCAGATCTCTTTTACAAAGTAGATGCTTGCCTTTAGGTGGAGTACACAGTGCTAAGGATGGGCTGTGCCATTCAGCAGTGTGGGAGAGGAGAGAAAGGATCTATTACCACATTAAGAAAATATCTCGCTAGTTGTCTCAGAAATCTGCATCGCAAACCACTTCTAAATTAGTGCAAGAAAAATCTGCAATGCAAAACTGAAATATTTAAGGTCTATTTCTATCCTACCCAAACTTAAGGCCAGAAAAATAGAATTTTAAAAAACTTACTACTGACCCTAGGATTTCCCAAGTCACAGTAGCCTTTTAACAGCCTATATTCCTCTCAAAAGTATAAGGTTAAGTCAGACAGTCCATGTTTAAATTACCTTAAAACCATCCTTTGGCATTAAGGTTGATTCAGATCAGGTAAGGTTTTTTTGTTGTTTTTTGGGTTTGGGTTTTGTTTTTGTTTTTTTTTGTTTTAGTTAATTTTAAAGCCAGGAAATAAAGGGGAAAATCCAAAATAGCCATCCAGCTTACCTGTGTGCTCTGTCCAAATCTCTTGCTTTTCTCCTGAATAGCCAGCTGAGCAGAACAGCTGTCCCTCGGCATTTGTCCAGTAGACGAGGTTTCTTTTCCAATCAATATCCAGTAAATAGATGTTTCTAGGATGCTCTTGAACTAGGGTTCTCTCTATAGCAGTTCCCATAAAACCAACTTTCAATAAGTAGAGACGTTTGCCAGACGAAAATACTATCTTTAACTCTACCAAGAGAAAGGAGAGATTTACCGTTTGGCCATTTGTCAGATAAGCCCCCTGCTCCCTTCTGGAGTAAACTCTCCAGCTGAGGAACACCTAGAAAGGGGTCTTAGCAAGTTCGCTTCTGAGGCATGAATACAGCACAAAAGCCTGAGCTTCCTTGGAGAAGGGAGTCATTTGGGCAAATGAAGTATCGCTCTGCTTTCCCAAAGCACTAAAGCTTTCTAATTTCTGCTGAAAGGTTAACACAGAGCCACAAGGATTAGGGCTGGGCGGTGCCCCATCTGTTTCAGTAATGTCCTCAAACCCTTGCTCATGGTGCACAAGTCTCAGTAGAAAGAATTTTAAATTCGATTGCCTATTTAAAGAAAAGTTACTCGGGTATTTAGCTATATATATAATGTTCAAGATACAATTTTTAAAAATTTTTTAAAGATTTATTAATTTATTTGAGAGAGGAAGAGAGCATGAGCAGGGGCAGGGGTAGAGGGAGACGCAAGCTCCCTGCTGAGCAGGGAGCCTGACACAGGGCTGGATCCCAGGACCCCAGGATCATGACCTGAGCCAAAGGCAGACACTGAACTGGCTGAGCCATCCAGATGCCCCTCAAGATACAAGTTAAAGTGAAGTCCTGAGTTTGGCACAACAGCGTATTACATGCACCATGATCGCATCCGGCATCTACCCCTGAGAATTATGTTCTTTAAAGGTGGTTAGAGCATGAAGATATTTATATCATTTATCCTTCTTAAAACCTGAGTGTTCTTTAGCAAAAAAGTAATGTGGGAGGTACCTGGGTGACCCGATTGGTTAAGCGTTGGACTCTCAGTTTCAGTTCAGGTTACAATCTCAGGATTGTAAGATCAAGCCCTGCACTGGGTTCCGCACTCAGAGGGCTCTGCCTGAGATTCTCTCTCACTCTCCTTTTACCGCTCCTCTCACTTCTGTACCTGCGCGCACGCTCTCTCTCTAAAATAAATAAATAAAATCTTTCCCCAAAAAAGTAATTTGGATAGAGATGTTCAAAGGAGCTTGTAAGCCTTAATATTTCAAAGACAAAACAACAAGAATTTATGTTAACCATACTGCAGTAGACCCTGCTTACAAACCTAGGTCAGAATACACAAGCCATAAGACTATGGAGGATTTTTTCCTTGTACCAACTTAATTTTTGGGTAAAACTGACTGGTATAACCTATTTTTCCTGTTTTAAAATCAAACAAAGCCCCCTAGTATTCATTGACAGATGAATGGAGAAACCAAAATGTAAATTAAGTGATTATTCAAGAAAAGCAATTCTGACACATATTACAACATGAACCTTAAAGATAGTAAAGGAAAGTAAGCCAGCAGCTGAAGGACAAATACTGTAGGATTCCACTTCTATGACGTTCCTAGAGTTGTCACCTTTATATAGAAAGTAGAATGGTGGTCTAGGGCTGGGGGGAGAGGAATGGGGAGTTATTGTTTAGTGGGTACAAAATTTCAGTTTAGGAAGATGAAAACGTTCTGGAGAGGGAAGCCTGAGTGACTCAGTCAGTCAGACGGCCAACTCTTGATCTCGGCTCAGGGCCCGATCTCGGTGTCATGAGACCAAGCTCCAAGTCGGGCTCTGCGCTCAGTGCAAAACCTGCTTGGGACTCTCTCCCTCTCCCTCTTTTCCTCCCTCCTGCTCTTGCTCTCTCTCTAAACAAAAATCTTTCTTTAAAAAAAGAAAAAGTTCTGGAGATGGATGGTAGCGATAGTTGCATAAAAACGTGGATGCACTCGATGCTACTATACGCTTGAAAGTGGTTAAAATACTAAGCTTTATGTTCTATAGTTTTATTTATTTATTTATTTATTTATTTTTAAAATTTATTTGACAGAGAGAGGGAGATCACAAGTAGGCAGAGAGGCAGGCAGAGAGAGAGGGGGAAGCAGGCTCCCTGCCGAGCAGAGAGCCCGATGCGGGACTCGATCCCAGGACCCCGAGACCATGACCTGAGCCGAAGGCAGAGGTTTAACCCACTGAGCCACTCAGGCGCCCCTATGTTCTATACTTGTAACACAATAATAAAAGAACTTGAGATCTTTGGATAACAAAACTTAACAAGGTAAGGTTGTCAGTATACAAGTGATTGATCCCAAAATGGAATGAGTCTCCCTGAGCCAAGCCCATTTGCCCCAGCATACTTACCGCTACATGTACCGGAAGGCAAAAGGAACATTCCCTCTGGACAAACACATTTATAGCCCTTGGGATGGATGGGGGACAGGAGACAGAGGTGGCTGCATGAGCCTGGAGCACATGCTGGGGGTATGCCTGTTTTCAAATAGAAATAGGTTAGGTACGATTTCAGAATTCTCCATACCAGTTCCAAACTTAATACTCAAGGGAGTTCAGTTGGTTTTGCCTTAAGAGGAATCCCAGGATCCTCGTTACCTTCTAGGTTAAACTCCCATGACCCCCCTTTGGATAGTGGCAATTACTTATCCATATTAAGCTCTGGCCAGTAAGTCTTCAACCAACAGCATCTTCGGCCCTAGAGTTAAGGCAAAAAGACTGCCTGGCTTGCTGACAGGAAGACTCCTTTAGAAGTAACAGTGGTCACAGCTCTCTACTTTGGGGAGTCTCTCCGACCCACTTAAGCAGCATTACCTGAGTTAAATCTGACATATAGTTTCTGGTTAACAAAAGCCTTTAACTCCTAGTCAATGAACATTTGGCTTCCTCTCATAAACAGGACATTGGGCTTTCTTCAGTTTTCTGTGAAGAGAAGAAAAATTAACATCAACTGCAATTAACAATGAACATGTCAGGGACATACCCTTGGGCTGCTGGGATTTGTGGAGGATGGAGAAAGCAGATATGGAAGCATTGAGCAACACCACTCTCTCCTTGGGGGTGTGGGGTGAAGTGTGATACAGATGTATTTTATTTGCCCAGAAGAAGGAGTTCTCGAATATAGCTAGTCCTATTGGGTTGTCGTCTTCCAAGAAGATCTCAGGAAAGGTGTGCCTCCCACTGCCATCCACGTTGATCGTCTCTATGGACTGAAGGGTAGAGTCATGAGAGTCGGTTGCCATTAGCATGAGACTCTGGCGTCAGGACACCTTTTGCATGGACACCGATTAAACATCTTCACATGCTATCAACTTGATATAAAGAGGAGAGTGTCTTGGAATTCATGGAGGCTAATGCCAAGCCAGTGGTTAGACTGCTTCTTGCACAAACTGGGGTCACATTGTACAAGTAGCTACCCTAACTTACTGTCTGTGTCCAGATGTGGTATACCAAGTTCTTCCCTACGTTCTCCAGCTGCTTTCTGAGGCGAATGATCCATCTCTCTTCAGAGAGGGTGATGGGAGTTCAAAGAGGGGCTATAAATTGCCAAAGTCATAGCTGAAGTAACAGACTTAAAAATACAACTCCCAGGGCCCCTGGCTGGCTCGGCTGGTAGAGCACACAACGCCCGATCTCAGGGCTGTGAGTTTGAGCCCCACATTGGGTGTGCAAAGATTACTTTAAAAAAAGAGTTGGGGTGCCTGGCTGGCTCAGTCGGTTAAGCATCTGCCTTCAGCTCAGGTCATGATCCTAGGACCCTGGGATGGAGTAGGGCTCCCTGCTCAGCGGGGAGCCTGTCTCTCCCTCTCCCCCTCCTCCCATGCATGCTCACACATGGTTTTATGTCTTAGGTACAACATACAGTATGACCTATACTACCAGGAAATTCCAGGGCTAGGTGTGACTGCGGTATTGGAGAAAGTCACACACAAAGTCTCCCAGCCTGTGTTGATCTGGTTGGGCTCTCCTCAAGACCCTGGCCCAGCCCAGCTCACTTTCCTCGGTCCTCGTGGCCAGAAGACCACGTGTGGGGTTGATGTAAAACTTACGGAGGACTCTGCAGTTACCCACGGGCCTACCAAGCCCCCACTAAAACGCTCTCCTTCCTAACCTCTCTCCAGTACCTCTTTATACTTGCTGATCCAGTAGAGGCGGCCAGCCACGGGGCTCCTCCATGTGGACAGCTGCGAGCACCTTCCGATCCGAGCCGTCCATCCCTGCAGCCTCGAGAGTTCTCGTGCCTTTCTTACCACGATTTACCCAATACAATGACCTGAGGGAAGCAAAAGCACAGAGTGTTAACCATCCCCCCTCATCCACCGCCCTGAACACATGCTCTTCTGAACAGCCAGGCCTCTGGAGCGTTCTTGTTCAGGCCCCTGGTCATTGAGCAGCTAAGAATGCAGATCTCTGCCCTCAGACTCTGTCGACTGAAAAGGGGCTCTCCGTAGGATTCAATTTAGAAGATATTTTTGGAGCAAATGAAGACCTATGTTGAAAATGTGGAAAGGTCCTCTTATCAACTTAAATGTCTAAGATAACCAGTGATTTGGGATATATTCTCAAAGAAATGCTACTTACTTCTTCGGGGGAAACACGATGAGCTGCTCTGGCACCAGATCCTTCTCCAAGATTTTGACGTAGCCTCTGCCATCACTCAAGCCAGCACCGATGACCCTCGTGAAGCTGCTAGCCCAATACAGCAGCCCCGTGAGCCAGTCCAAAGAGATACTGTCCACGGCCTGAAGTTCTGGGGATACATGGACAGTATTACTATGCTCCTGTATTCTCCTACCTTCTTCTTACCTTGAAAAAAAGATCTGGACTAAACTTTTCTACATCTTCTGATTTCAAACTGTACAAGGCAGCTGGTGGGACACAGGAAAGGAGGGCCAGAGATGAGCTCTGTGCAATATACTGTGGGCGGCCGGAAAGAGAAGGACCTTAGCAGAAGCAGAACCAAGAAATCCAAGAGAATGCAGCCTCAGTCTGGGGCAGCATCTGTTACAGAAGTCTCAGGGGAGTGGCTAACAGAGGGTTTCTACATGCCCAGGACAACTAAGCACTTCCTCCCATGGACCGTTCTTCTTGAATCCCCAGTGAGACAAGGGCTATCCCTTTCGTCTTACTGAGCGCGGTTCAAAGGAGTTAATGACTGGCTCTAAGTCACATACCCAGGGATGAAGTGGAGATAAACCCTGGCCTGAGCCCGTATGCCCAACTTTCTGTACCTCTTTAGAGCAACCTCGTTCGCCAGTTATGCTCCAACAAAGCTCCTGTTGAGCCAAATTACATGGCCTTATCTCAAATCAGGGTTGCACACACTCTGGGGAGTCACAACAAGCGAGTCCCAGACGACGTCCAGATGAATACACAGGCTGCTTATACTCTGCTGAAGGCGCTTTAAGAAGCCAGGGCTCTGGACGTCAAGAAATATACCTGGATAGAGAGGAACTGGGTTTGGCTTCCCAAAGACAAACACGTGTAAGACTTCATCCACCCAAAAGTACATGCTTCTGTCGAGATCATAGGCGACAGAAGTCGGCCTCGAGTTTACAGGAACCAGAGGCTCATAGATGCCTGTTCTCCGATCCAGGACCCCAAGTTCTCTCTTTGCCGCTATAAGAATTTTAACAGCATCATCTGCAATAAAGGGGGAAAAGGAACAGTGACACACTCCTTGGACACTTTCTTTCAGGCCATTCTCTTTCACCAAAGATGCTGTCCCATCTCCTGTGCTGAAATCCGCCGACAGCTCAGGTCTGGACTGTGGCGTGTCCAGAGGCAATCTAGCCTACCACCCTAAGCCCCAATTCCTCCTCTGAACTCCAACACATTCCAACTCATCTTTGGAACTCTGAGCCTGTTTGATTTCAGATTCTGCCCTTCCCCCCACCTAGACAGAGCTCCTCTCCCTGTCTCATACACAGCAGCCGAATGGAATTCACCGTTCCCTCGTTAAAGCAGCACAGGCCAAGTTAACACTACGTCAGTGTGGTCTCCGGAGCACCCAGGTGTACAGCCTGCAGGACAGCTAAGTCATTTTAAAGATACTTCATAGGGGCGCGTGGCTGGCTCAGTCAGGAGAGCATGCAACTCTTGATCTTAGGGTCGTAAGATCTAAGCCCATGTTGGGTGTAGATTTAACAGATAAACTTAAAGAAACATAAAGATACCTAATAGCAACTGATACTTGATTTGGCCAAGGAATGTTGTTAATAGCAGCTTCTTTATGGAAAGAATAATGTCACTCTCATACCAGACCCTAAAGTGAACCATGGACAACACTTCTATCTGTAATGACCACTAAGGACAGAGCAAGGGCTAGGCTTTGCTCAGAGTTGTGAATCTCACCTATAACTCGACAACTGGTCCCATTGTAGAGCTGGTGACCTTGAACACACGCACAGGAGTAGGAGCCTGGGATGTTACGGCACAGCTGGCCACAGGGACTGTAGGCCTGGGAGCACTCATCTATATCTGATGACAGAGAGCCAGAAATCAGACACGACCACAGAGCCATCTCCTGAGTATTTCTGGGCCATTGGGCCCCCCTTTCAGATGCTCGCTGGACACGTACTATGTGGAAATCCCTGCGCTGGTGCTGGCACAGATAGTCCCTGCCTCTGTGGAGTTGCCATCCAAGCAATTAAGTGGGAACGTCAGTGTGGAGGCCCCAGACATGCAGCTGGCACGGAATCCCAGGTGGAGGTTACCCTAGCAACACTCAGGGGCATTGCTGATTTGGAATGAATGGTAAGACATGGAGAATCGGAAACACTTATGCCCTGCTGGGGGAATGTCAAGTGGTGCAGCCGCCATGGAAAACAGCTTGAAGTTTTCTCAAGTTAAACGTAGAAGTTGCTGCAGGATACGACAATCCCACGTCTGGTGTATACCCCAGAGTGTGGAAAGCTGGGATTTGGGCATGTGTACACCAGTTGCTCATAGCATCGCCCATGAGAGCCAAAACGTGGAAACTACCCAAATGCCCATCAACGGATAAATAAAATGGGCATATGTATGCAATGAGGTATTTGGCCTTAGAAAGGGAAGGAGAGTCTGACCTTGCTATGACATGGATGAAACTTAATGACAGGCTAAGTGAAAAAAGCCTGGCCCAGAGGGACAGATCCCACAGGACTGCACTTAGATGCAAGACTAGAACAGGCAAATTCAGAGAGGAAGTGGATGGAGTTTCTTGGGGATTGGGGACAGAGTTCTTGTTTAATGGGGACAGAGTTTCTGTCAGGGAGGATAAGAGAGTTCTGGAGATGGATCGTGGTGATGTTCACATGCGTCGTGAATGTGGTGGAGGCCACTGAATTACATCCTTAACGTGATTAAGATGGTAAGCTGTGTGGCATGTCTATCCCACTGCCATGGAAACTTTGGAAGATGCGCCCAATGAACTCTGACCTGCACAGCTCTGGCCGTCCGGCTGTAACTGCCACCCAGCTCCACACGAACACTGGACTCCCCAGGCGGTGTCACCGCACTGTCCCTCACAGCCCCCATTGGCCACGGAGCAGTTCCTCCCTGGTAGAGACAGGGCAGTGGTCAGGAGAGTTGAACACGGTACAGATCAAATGTTTTCTAAGCCGTGGTGTTACAAGCCCCTACTTGCTGTGAGGGCTATAGAGGTTTCTGAAGAATAACTTTGACCCCACCCTCTGACCTAGGAATGTGAATGCTTTGGAGAAAGATCACAGAACAGAGAAAGTGAAGAATCATGGAGCGGGGGAAAGGACTTTTCTAGGCAGACAGTCTGGACAATTTCAAATGCTGGTGTATTGCTCACCCACAGAAGGCCCAGCAACCTCTTCCCTATTTCCTCTAGAATATTTGAGGGGCCAGGACCCTTGCCCCAGGAAGTGATATAGTAATTTCTTAATCCCAGTGAATTACCTCTACAGCACCAAAAACCTGTGTGTTGTCCCACTGTTCCTGCTTCCTGTGTCTTATGTGTTCCCTCAGTAGAAAGTGGCCTTCGGGGCGCCTGGGTGGCTCAGTGGGTTAAAGCTTCTGCCTTCGGCTCAGGTCATGATTCCAGGGTCCTGGGATCGAGCCCCGCATCAGGCTCTCTGCTCAGCAGGGAGCCTGCTTCCCTTCCTCTCCCTCTGCCTGCCTCTCTGCCTACTTGTGATCTCTCTCTGTCAAATAAATAAATAAAAGAAAGTGGCCTGCACAGCCCTTAGCACTAACAAAGGTCTCGTCATACACATCTAAGCCCAGATTTAAGGAGGAAACGAGACAGATGACAAAGTGACCTGGGGAGACCTGCCCTGTCCCCATCCCCCCCAACCTGAACCAACAGTGATTTTTAGAGTGAGAATCACAAGGTTTTAAATTTTCAGACACTTGCTCAGGAGCTCCCTCCTCACCAGGAAATAGTCTTCCTCAGTCCTTCCTCAGTTAAATCCTTAGAGAATTCACCATACGGTCTTGAACACAGGATTCGCTTCTCAGTGCCACAGTCTGTTCTTTATTCCAGAATTTTCGGAGCAGTGTGGTTTGAGGCATTTAGTCTATTTCCTTAGAGCCATAGCGTGAGGCAAGCTCACCGAGTTTTCCAGCTCAGGTAAGCTCTGCGCACACTCAGGAGACCAGAGCCAAGGCTCGGAACTTGTAAGACGTGGGGGACCCACCACGGAAGGATGATTGCTGACATAGGGGTCTGGTCCGAGCATTCTCTGAAAGCGTGGACCCCCATGATAACTGAGGCATTGGCTAATGTAATCGGATTCTGCCCACCCCCCATGTGACGCCTGGCAGTTGGGTCCTCACCACATGTAGCCGGTTCATCAGCACCATCTACGCAGTCAAGTTCCCCGTCACACATCAGGGATTCCAGGATGCATTTCCCTTCATCACATCTCACCATGCCTTCTGGACAGGAGGCTGCGTAGGAAGGAGAGCTTTCTTTTCCAACAGCACGTGGGGCAAGGGGGAGTCAAAACAGACCCTTATTAATTACAGTAAGGTGGCAGGGTTTCCAGAACCCAAGGCAAGTTGAGGTAGGAAAGAAAGTTTTATCATTTTAAGCAGAGTTTTCAGGGAATTGGGAGTTAAGACTTGATAATGATGAAGCCAAGCAGGCCATGTGGGCACTTGGTTGAAATAATATTGATCAAATTGAATTAGTATTAAGTAGTTCTAACTGAGATGGTGTTAAAGTCGGTGAACATGAGCCCTAAAAGAAGATCCTCTTAAGAAACCGGTTTATAGGGGCACCTGGGTGGCTCAGTGGGTTAAGCCTCTGCCTTCAGCTCCGGTCATGATCTCAGGGTCCTGGGATCGAGCCCCACATCAGGCTCTCTGCTCAGCAGGGAGCCTGCTTCCTCTCTTTCTCTCTCTGCCTGCCTCTCTGCCTACTTGTGATCTCTGTCTGTCAAATAAATAAATAAAATCTTAAAAAAAAAAAGAAACCAGTTTATACATGATAAAAATGTTAGAATCTGAATATTGCAGATTTAATTTTATAAAGATTGAGTGGAATTGTGGTTTACTGACAAGCTGGAGGTTCCACTGCACTGTGTATGTGGAATCAAGAAAAGGAACATTGTACTCAATGAGTTCGTTGCAGGGCTTGGGGGAGCGGAGCAGGGGGTCCTCTTTTAATGAGGAATTTCCCCATCATGGACCCCACAAGGACATGAGGCATCCGTTAGGAGGCTCCTTCAAATACGGACACTCTGGTGTTCTGTGCCGTGGCCACATTGCCTAGAGTATCCTGCATGGAGTTACTATTCAAGCACTGCTCGATGTTTCCATGGGTAACTACATCTTGGTTACTGCTAGGAGACATCCTGTTTTTAGATATAGGATGGCGTCTCAGTCCTAGGAATTAAAATGCAACCTGCAGAAAGCAGCCCACATGATACCTTTACAGGTACCTTCCTCTTTAGAGGACAGGCCAGGAGGGGGTGGGGGAGGGGCACTCACCACAGGCGTCCTCGTCCGAGGAGTCCCCGCAGTCGTTGACCCCATTGCACCTCCAGCTCTCCGGGACACACAGCTTGTTCCTGCACAGCCACTGGCCCACCAGGCAGTGGTTCGGGGAGCAGCGTGCTTCATTGAGCCCATCTTCACAGTCCCGGGGGACGTCACAGAGTTCCCAAGGCTCGAGACACTGAGACTGTCCTGGACACTGGATTTTCTGTCCAGAGCACACCACAGAAGTCTCTGTAAAAGGCGGGCATTGGCCCAGTGAGGTGGAAGGCCTGACCTGCCAGTTTGTACCCTTGGGTATTCACGGTTTGCTCACGCTTTGGTCTCCAGAATACCAAGAACTGAGCAGGAGGCCAGCCACTGGAGATGAGAACCAATTCGGCACCCCAAAGTGTCAGCCCAAAGGAGTATAAAAAGCCAACAGCAGCGAGAATCTTCTAGGTGATTTTGCAAAATGCAGTAGTGGATAAAAGGTCACCTGTCATCCCAGCGACAACTGAACACAGGCATTTAGCCCCCGTCCAGCAGAAGGCTACCTAGGGACTTGCTGGTGTCACTTAATACCGTGGAGGTTCATTCATCAAGGCAGCTAACTTGACATGTCATGTCCGAAGAGAAAGTAGATTGTACCTACCGCAGTTAACCTCATCGGAGCCGTCCAGGCAATCCCCGGTACCATCACAAAGCCGGCTACTAGAAATACACTTCCCGTCGTCACACTGCCAGGCCTGTGGATGTCCGCGACATGCTTCCTCTGCGGGCCAAGGGGAATGTTTGAGGGGCAGAGAGGAAGAGCTGTTTGCCAGGGCACTGATAACTTTTCAGCTGGGGTTTTGTATGAAGTATTTTCATTAGCAGAACAACAATTAAGTCCCCGTCTGCCACAGAGTCCATTCTAAATTTGCCTGTCCTTTCCATGTCACCCTAACCGCACACCATACCCTGCCTTAGGGACAATCACCTAGCAGCCCAACATCGCTTACACTCCCAGTCATGCTGCTAGAATGATGAAGTTGTCCAATAAAAACTTCTGTGACAATGGAGGCATTGTCCAAAGGGGCTGTCACTAGTCACGTGTGGCTACTGAGCATCTGAAGCGTGGTTAGTAGGATAAAATAGCTATATTTATTATTTAAATACATGTAAATCTTCACACGTTGGCTAATGGCTACTGTATGGGCCAGTACAGCCTTATAGTGTCACTTCTTGGAACCCCTTTGGCATTTGAGACCATACTGAGATTGAAGACAACCTGGGCACTGTCAGTCTGGGGTCTAATGGGACCTTCAAATAGTTCCACCTAAGTATGCCTCCTGGCAGATGCAAGTAAACCTGGAGAGCTGTGAGGAAGTATGGGGGGAGAACAGCACAAGGCACTTCTGGAAGTATAAAATGTAATTTGAACCTGTAATAGTGCAGGTTTTAAAATCAAAGTTTACATATTAAATTAGTTACAGTAAATGGCCAGCCCAGGAGTGTGCAATCAGGGTAGAAAAAAGGAATGGAGCACTCCCCAAGTTTTTCGGGGGGGGTCTCCTCTTTTACTCAGGAATTTTCTCCTTCCATATTCACCGCTCAAGGATGTAAAGCATCGGTTAAAAGGCTTTCCTCATCTCCAGAGGGTCAGGTGTCCCTTCTGGGGCTGGGAGCACTCTTAGCATGGAGGTGTTTGAGCTGGATTTCAGGAACACATTTACCAAATGGCTAACTTGGCTTCTATTGGTCTTGCAGTTTTCTTCGGTCCTCCATTTGAAAAATTGTCTTCTCATTGTACAAAAGCTTGAAGTAAAGCTAAAGTAGTTGATTGTATCTATTTACAAGTGTGTGCTGCGGTCAGTGAGGGTTGCACATGGAGCAATCTTGTGTTAGTCCAGTTTGAGTACCCGCCACGTGTTGAAGCTAGACTTGAAGGCGAGAAGCCAGACTCATCCTGGATTTTCTATCCCAGCTAGCCCACCACACCTGTCTTGAGAACTTTCTATCCCAATTAGCCCTTCCACACTTGTCTTGACAACAGTGCTACCAACACCTACATCCCTAGACTTACGAGCTGAAAGCCTGCCACAACCCAGAACACCTCCTATTTCCGAATACCCGCTACGAGTGAAAACCACAGGACCTGACGCTGTCGGCCGGGCACACAGCCGTTCGTGGATGAGGACACGAAACGGCAAGGAGTGCTCACCACACTGCTCGTCTGTCCCATCAGGGCACTCTTGCTGTCCATCGCAGAGCCAGGCCACGGGAATGCACCTGTCCCCACATGCAGCTTGCCTTGTCATGTTACACCTTGCTTCATCTGCATTGGATGAACAAAAAGCAAATCCATGTGAGCACCTTTTCATGAGAAGCTGTAGTGAAAAGATTATTCAGAGGAAGGTCCTTCAACTAATACTCAGGAGAACATCAGGGGGATTCAGTACCATAAAAATCCATTGGACTTCTGCAGTAATGATCCTTGGATACTGTTCTTTCTGGTGGTGTGGGGTTGGGAAATCACCATTCGCTGCCGTTTTCCCATTGGAATGGGACCAACATGCACTGTGCTCCAAGAGACCCAGCTACTTCTTCTGGTTTGATCTTAAAGACTCTGAATGGTTGAACGTTTAGAAGTCTAAGCTCAAAGTCTGGACTCTATAGTTTACTTTTAAGTTTACTTTTTACATCTAAAAATTAGATTTGGATTTTAGATCCTACACACAATCTTCGTAAGAATGCCTCTAATAGGTTGGTTATAAATATTTAAGAGCTCAGTGATTTGACTAAGATTGATTTACTGTGTCTTATTCAAGTCATGAACTTCTATTTATCAACCTTGAATAATTAATGGTCAAACTTAAGCCTGTTTTGGAATGTGGTCCTCAGAAGGAAGCACCAGGGAGGCCTGACTATAGCAAATTTACTATACTGTCCTAACTTTCAAAGAGAAAAAGCCAATCTTTAGTTCCTAGAAAAGATAAACCACATGGCTTACACTGGAGTCTCTGCAAGATCCAGCAAAGACTTTTCCCCACCCCATGGTCCTACTCCCAGGAACAATTTGTACATGGAAGGGAAAGCACTATGCAAAGTTGTGTAATGGAAGTTGATAATGGAAGGCCATTGTATAGACCACACCTTCTTCGCTAAGAGACCATTTCTTAGTCTTACTTGTATCCTTCTAAGATAATATTTCAGCTTAGCTACTCAAGGTTTGATTTTTTTTTTTTGAGGCTGGTGTATAAAAAACATTTTAAATATTCAAAAAGTATTGGTGACTAATGGGTACCTAACGACTCTCCCATCAACTCACATGCCATCCAAGCAGTCTCACTTAGCTTGACCAAAACCACTGAGAGCAGGTGATGTTACCAGCCACTAATACGGAAGCACAGACTTAGCTGTCAGGCTGCATAGGTTGGCATTTTAGTGAGACCACTTACTAACAATGTGACCTTGGGAGAGTTACTTCCTTCCTCTCTCGGGATCTCAGTTTTCTGTCTATAAAATGAGACTAATAAATAAGTGATCAGAAGAGAAAGATTCAAAGAATAAATGGGCACAAAGTCACTTGGTGCCCTATACCCACCATATAAATCTTCGTAAAGCATTAACTCTTTTGCTACCACTTCCAGCAGATCCTTCCAGAAGGATCCTAATTAGGTGTCCAGTCAGCCCTCAAAGACTCACACTTCCAGGTGAGTCACACCTTGAATAATATTTTGCCCTGCTGATTCTTGGTCTAGAGACCAAGTGTGCATACAGATTCTACACGTCTGCAGGTGGATCTCAAACCATTATTTTTCACTTATGTAGATGCTTGCTGTGAATAAATAAGAAATGTATTAACATATTTACTTAAATCTTAAGTATAAGGTAGCTTTCTCAGAGTCTGTTAATATGCAAAGTAGGGTGATCACATGCTATTCTAGAATGGGCATCCGAAAGAGGGCTACATGCCAGAAAGCTTTGGTAACCATTGCTTAATAAAAAATGCAAGCAAGGTAAAGATGCTTCAGGAGTGATGCAAAAAGACCACACAGAGCAAGGGCTCCTCATCACGGCAGAGATGCCCCATCACCTGTGGCAAAAATCCTGTGGGTTAGAATCCCTCCTGGAAAACGAACAACTCAATTAAGTGGCACATCCTCCGACCTAGTTAACACCCCCTTGACCAAGAGTCTGCTAAGTGAAAATGATTTAAAACCAGACTTCAATCTATGAGGGCCACTGGCAACACCTGTGGGGAGAGACTGCAGGCCAGTTTGACCAATGCTAGGCACCTCCTAGACATGGCTAAGCCACCAACCAGCCACCCACCACTTGGGAAATGTGGATGTCTTGGTGACTCTGGGGCATCGACTCAGCTCTCCTCTGCCCTGGGGTCTGCCTAAACCTGAGTGGTATCAACAAGTGCCACAGAGAGCTGCTTCCCAACTGCACCTCTGACCCAAGCCCCATTTCCCCGTGCTGTTTCCGCAGTGAGGTCATGTCTTCCGGAGGCCCCCCCCCCCCCCCCCCCCCCCCCCCCCCCCCCC